CCTTTTGTCATTTAAAATTTTGCAATTTTCCACGGCGCAAAAAGCGGTAAGTGTGCCAGAGAGTAACTCTACATTTTGATTGGTGCTCGGCCAAAAGCGGTAAGTGTGCCAAAGAGTAACTCTGCATTTTGATTGGTGCTTGGCGGAACGGAACATGGTGATTGGTCTGGCAATACTGGACCTTGCAAATAGTAGATAGATAGATAGATAGATTTGGTCAGCTGTATCCGCACAGACTAGAAAAAGAGCGGATTTTATCATTTAAGTTAGTTAGAGAACTCAGAGGATTTTTCATACCCTGTCTACTGGTAGTTCCATGCAGTGTTGAACCCATAGAACTGTCAGATTCCAATAACTCAAAGCGATGGATTGGCGTTCTCCACAAGCTGTGCAAAGTATGCCTACAAAGTCATGAGCATTGCATAAATAATCACCTTGGGCTAGATGACTCTCACCTGGAACCATGCGCCAGCCTCAGGTGCAGGCTGGAGAGCATCGCTATATCTACAGTGGGCATCATAGCGAGTCGCACTGGAATCCGAAGTACCATCACTCTCACCGCCCGGCTTCACCCAGACAAAGGCATCGGCCAAGGCATCACCGGTATCGGTGGTTGGTCGAACACCGAAACCAGTTCCCTTGACATTGCACCAATCGCCCCAGGCATTTTGGGAAGTGGGCTGGACTCCATTGCGCCCTAGAACAAGGTGGTTAGCGTGGCATCTTTGTCTCATGGGAGGGGGGGTTGATATGATGCTATGTTCAAAGACTGGCTGGTCACATACCGGTGTCCGTGATGAAGTGGGCATCCCAGCCAGCACTCTTAAGGAGGGGAGCAAGGGCGTTTATGTATTTCTTTTCATCGCAGTTGGCATTTCCTGACGTGTACGATGGACAGGTAGTGAGAGACCAGCCGTTGTAGTTGGAAACGTTGGTGACAAGTCCGCGCAGAGACGCGGGTTTTTTAGCAGCGTTGTAGACATTTGCGTAAAGTGTAGCTGCTGGGCTCAGATTTGCAGGCCAGCCAAGCCATCCGGCGTGTCCTATTTCACTTTTTAGAATGCCCACATGAGGAATGATTGCATCCCTTGATGACGTTGCAGGGAAATAGCACAATAAAGTATGTAACTAGGAAGTGACTGATGCGGCATCATGTGGAGGATCTTCCATCGCTTCTTTGATTTGTTATATCTAAGGAATGAGGAAATATACTTACCAGCATCTAGATACATAGCAACATTGGCCAGGTTCAGCTGAGTGACAGCATAGTCAGTGCACTCCAAGTAAGCGTTATGTGCGCCTGCACACTTTGGAACAGCCATGTTGGTAACCAAATTGGCCAGACTGTCAGGTTCTAGAAACACTGTTAGAAACGAATATTCCAGGTGTCTACACACAATAGCCACCCGATCATGAATGTCTACCCACCAACGACAAGAATAGTCTGAACATCAGAGTATTCAACCAGCACCTCACGAATGGCGTCAATGTAGGCTTTGTAATTTGCAACACCGCCGTTGGCGATAGAGAACTCTCCATTGCTGGCCAACGCCGCGCAGTCACGATCAGGTAGATCGTACACAACGAATTGGCCCGCGATCGGTGGGCTAGCACCGGCTTTGTTTTGAGCCCTGATGTCGGCCAACAGCTCGCCCATCTTTGGCACCTTGTCTGCAGTATCCCTGTAAGGCCATTTTAGTGTTGTTCTCAAGTTTAATGGGTTACTTGGGGTGCATAGGAGATCTATGCAATACACCCACAGCCAATAAAAGGACGGAACTTCAGCAGCTGCACTTGCGGCGGCTTTAGCAGCACCCGTCATGGATGGCATTGCCGATGCTGAGACTTTAGATGCATAATATGGATTGACATAAAACTGGTGTCCAGAGAAGGGATTTCCCGAAGCCGCAGTGGTGATAGGTGCGGTAGCAGCACTTGAGATTACAGCTGCTGCAGTGGAGGAAGCCAGTAGAGGTATAAATGGAATGAGGCATCGCATATTGGCCGTCTGGAGGCAATGGGTTTGGATGTAGATTGGTTCTCTGCGATGCCGTTTCAATGTTTGGTATTAGTTAGATCTCTTTATATTCCTCAGCGAGATGTGTTTCTGCCCGTTTTTGCGGAGCTTGAAGCCGGAATCCTGAAGACACTGTCAGACCCACATAGAGCTATCCAAGCATGGGATCAGAACTATTTCCGTACAAATGACCATTTCTGGATGCTGCCAAGACGTGTAAATGTACGGCATTGAAAGGCATGCTCTGTTAAATCTTGACAATTGCTATCTTGTCCGGGGTAGATGCAACGCAACAACAATGAAGACGAGGTGATCTGCGGCCTTGAAACCACTCAAGATTGCCTAGATAGTTAAGGGGAGGGAATGTAACGTAATTTGAACATCAGCGCGGCATTAATGCCCCGTCTCCAGATGGGACGATCATCGTCGATCTCCCCAAATTCGGCGCGGGAGGACCATGTTAGGCACGCCCCACGATACGAAGTTAAGCAATTTGTCTCTGTTCAATTACGTTGTATTACTATTGCACCAGCATCCTCAACTGCCACAAATGGAAGCAGAGAAAGGCGTTAAAACTAGTTGATTTGGCCCAGTTGATGGAAGATGAACTTTGAGACCCCGTTGTAGGGGGATTGATCTTGCGCCAGGAACCCGACAAATGAAAACGGAGACCTGTTAACAAAGGCAAATGAAAACTTCAAAGCCAGGGAAACTGCTAGGGAATCGCCATTTGCTTTCGACAAGACTCATTATTCATGTCCCCCAAGCCCGGCACGTGCTGCGTTCTTCAGCCGGGTCAGTCTTTGCAAAAAAGCGAAATTTCTTAGTAAAATAAGTGTGTGCCAACAAAAATTTTGACAGTGCAATGCTTTGGCCCGGAATTATATCCTCGGCCGAATCGTGTTGTTGAGGCTAAAATGACAAAAATACCTATTTCTAGGGTTGTTTTTGTCAAGCGCACGGCTCATATGTTGTATTGCACTGGATTTAAGCAGTGACATGAGTTTCATTAACGAGAGTGATTTTTCAATAGGACCTCATTCAATTGACTAAATATAACACCGAAAGAAGTGTTAAAGAGTGGAGTGGTATCTGTATCATCATGTGTGGTGTGTAGTCCCGGTCTCAGCCTAGAATACGTGCCAATGGAAAAAAAAGGGATTAAGAAAAATTAAGAAAATAGGATCAAAAGAGTGGTGGCAGAAATGGAAAAAGGAGAAAAAGAATACCCAGTCTAAGCGTCTGTCCCTCAACGCTTAGCTTGATCACACTCAGCTAGAAACTTGTAAATCCCCTCGATACCTTCATGTGCAGATTTGTTCTCGTGTTGACCAGAGCTGGAGATTTCCGGGAAGAAAGGCTGATCTCCAAGTTCACTAATGTTGATACTAGAGTAGCTTTTGGTGGAAGATCTCCAAGGATTTGCACCAAACAGCTCACTGTCATCGAAACTGATGGCATTGCCCGAATCACGACTGCCGCCCGGCGACAACGTTGTGCAGCTTTCTGGTGTCATCATACCTTGCCAGTCAAGATCCGCTGGATACTGTGCTTGCGAGTTTGGGGGGGTTTCAAAGTAATAATGAGTGTCGGAAGAAGTGGCAACGCTCGGTGCAAAAGGGAACAAGAGAGCCAAATCAGCACCATTGCAAATATCAAAGTCTTCATCCTGCACGACTCGGCCTCGCTGAATCCCGACCTCGCAACACAGTTCCTCTACGGTTTCCGCATCACAGCCCGGGAAGCGCACCCGTATGGTTGATCGGTCGTGAAGGGAGATCGGAAGATCACCAAGTGATGAAAGACGCTTGAGATCGTTCATCACGGCAGAGAAATCCTTCAAAGCACGGGCAAAATCGGCAGAAAGCAGATCCATAAGACCCTCAGAGTTCAGAGAGTTACACAAAGCGGAGCGGTCCTGGTTGCCGACACCACCAGCAGCACTGAGTGCGGTGATGGTCGGGGAAACCTGGAATTCAACATACGAACCGGGCGCGCTGTGCAGGTGTGAATTCATCTTTCGATCTGCTTGGTCTTGCAGCTTGCTGACTGTCTTGTACCGCTTCTCTCCTGTGTGGGGATTGATGCCGTCGAAGCGAACTTTCTGCCCAGACAAGAAGAAAGCGCGGACGCCCTGCGACACATTCTGAATGACTTGTGCTGGTGCTGCAGGCCCATGAGAAAAGTATCTAGCTCCACCAAAACGGCCAGCTCCAGCAGCGTATCCACCAGCAGTCCGGCCAAGGGTGCCACCGGTCAGATTGGGACGAAGAGTAGACGCGAAAGGTGCACGGCTACTGAGTTGACTGATTTTAGACACAATGCGAGATGTAGCACGTGTGGTGGTCTCAGCTCCTAGTCCGGATCGAATCGCAGAGGCGAAGGCGCCGGCTGCACGGGTCGAGAAGTGGCGACTGCGGGCTTGACGGATAGCAGCGGCACGGCTGATTGGCTGACGAGGGTTAATTCGGGCATAGGCAAGTTCGTACCGCACCGAGTGAGACTCTGTGGGCTCTGGCAATTTGGAACGTAAAGCCTTTGAGGCCTTAGTGTAGGCGAACCTAGGAGCATATTGGTCAGTGGCTCCATTGCAACTCGATATAGCAACAGAAAAGGGGAGACATACCTTGCTGCCCTCCATATTTTAGGAAGCAGCAGGTGGCCTGCTGAAGGCGCCATGATGAAGTTTCAAAGATGAATAGTGCACTAAAGATAGTCGGAATGGATGCCGAGAAGAGAGGAAGGATGCCTGATGACGGGTCCACGGGCATACCTACACCCTTATCTCTCCGCCTCTGACCCGATGCTCCGCAGTGGCTGTGCGACGCCACTCTCGTGACCAAAAAGAGGCTCTGTTTTTCGTGTTTGCACTGTATGTTGTGTTTGATATCTTGCTCTCACGAGGACATCGGAACAGAACGACGCCAGTCGCGTTCGCTTAATGTTGGATTTTTTGTGCTTAAATCTAAAATTTTTGACAATTATAGACTATGAGCTTATTTTAATAGTTGTTGTTGGCAAGGCAAAATAATTCTTTTGGTATCTACAGCCTATGTACTCATAAAATACTCATCATTTTCAACTTCTTTACTCGTCATCGCCAAAGAACACCTTGATGGGAAGCCAGGCGTCACCGCAGACCTTGAAGCGGTCCTTCAGATTGTCGAGCTGGTTCACCTCATCGGCAGTCAACTCCCAGCCATTAATATCAAAGTTGGCCTCAATGCGAGACTTGCTCACGGACTTTGGAATGACACTCCATCCCTTCTGGATACCCCAAACGAGGAGCACTTGTTGAGGGGTCTTTCCCTTCTGCTCCGCGATCTTCAGGAGAGTGGGATCCTTGTACAAGGGCGAGTTTGTGGAGCCCAGGCAGGAGTAACCAGTGGAGTGGATGCCCTTGGAGGTGTTGTAGGCGACCAGCTTGGGGGAGGGGTTGTTGGGGTGCAGCTCAATCTGGTTAACAGCGGGCACGATCTTGCAGCTGGGATCATTCAGGAGCCTCTCCAGATTCTTAATTCCGAAGTTAGAGACACCGATGTTGCGGACCTTGCCGGTGGCAGGCAGCTTCTGCACTTCTTGCCTGTGGTGAGCATGAGGAGTCAGCAAGAGTTCGCCCTGAATAGATTCGAAGCTTTACTTACCAAGTCTTGATGAAGTCCCAGTCGGGCAGGTGCTTAGACAAGTCATTAGGGTCGGTGGAGCTGGGCCAGTGAACCAAGTAGAGGTCGACATAATCGGTGCCGAGGTCCTTGAGAGAGGAATCAATACCCTCAGCCACGCGCTTGTGCCAGGGGTTATCCAGCTTGGTGGTGATCCAAATCTCTTCGCGGGGCACGCCGGAATCTTTGATACCAGCACCAACCTCGGCCTCATTGCCGTAAGCCAGAGCGGTGTCAATGTGGCGGTAGCCGGCGAGAAGGGCGTCCTTCACGGCCACGCGGACCTCATTAGGCTTGGACTGCCATGTTCCCAAACCAATGGCGGGGATCTTGGCGCCAGTGTTGAGGGTGTAGGTCTTCCTGTGGAGGAAGAAGGGTTAAGACGATGGCTTGGATCGCAATACGTTACTAGGGACATACTGAGTGTGTTGGTTCGACATCTTGGTATATTTTGAGCGATGGAATAATAGTTTTAAAAAAAAGAAAGGATCTCAAGAGACAGGTGTTCTTTATATAGTGTCTCGACTTTAAAGTGGGCAGGTCCAAGAGCGATGATGTCGTGGGGGGAGAGGGGAGTGGGGTGGAAATTGGACCATAGTGCTCCTGCTTCCGTTTGCTTCTGCTCCGTACACAACACTCATCAACAAACCGGTGGAAAGGGTGATCAAGAATTTACCCGACAGGCCATATCCAATTCCATTGTGAGAGAAACTTACACCGTCCTACTGGAGCCGTGGGAATGTTTTTGAGGGTATAACCAAAGGGGACACCAAGACGAACCATTCTGGCCCAAACGCACGTTTCCACTCATGTTGGCCCACATCTTCCAATTGAGATCGACTCATCTCTCCCACTTCTCCGAAAGTCTCCAATTTCTCATTTTCTTACGCAAAACTTCCCTTTCCAGAAATTTCTCAGTCTCCTAGTCCAACAATATTATTCGCCCGCGTTTCGGTCCATTCCACGCCCCCCCCACATCCCATTCCGGTTCCCCAACGCCGGATAATTTCACACTCCGGCCGACCGTTATACCCGAGTCCTGTATCCCGTGACCCAAATCATTTCACCCTGCCCTATCACCATGTCATCCGGGTTCGTTTCATCCGGAACAAACGAGCAGCCGATCGAGCGGGACGATGAGTGGCTCAGAGCGCAGCAGGAGCTAGAGGAAGAGCGGAGACGGAAGGCTGAAATAGGGAAGCAGGATGACGGCAAAAGTCTCTTTGAGGTGCTGGAACGCAACAAAAGTGAGCGCAACTATATCTTGCCAGCTGCCGTCTACACGAACGAACAGAACAAAGGGCGGACATTTTATCCAGGGAATCTGGCTAACATGTTAGGGTGATTTTCCTCGGTTACTATGCAGTGGCCAAACAAGAAGCCTTTGAAGAGAAATCCCGTCTGAAAAACCAATTTCGATCCCTTGATGAAGACGAAATCGAGTTCCTGGATTCTATTCTCGAGTCAACCCGCGCCAAGGAGGCTGCTGTGAAGAGGGAGACGGCAGAGCAACTTGAAGCCTTCCGCCGACAGCGTGAGGAGGCGCAGAAAGCACTACTTGAGACAACCTCGTCGGATGTGACACGCGTGAAAGGAGAAGAATGGACCGCTCTGGCTCGCAAGAGAAGACACGATAAACACCGGAACTCACTGATTCCAGGAAAGAAGCGCAAAGCTTCAGTCAACGAGAACGTCGCGGTGAAGGACACGCAGAATGGGAAAGATTCGCAAAATCAGGCTGGAGCTGGCAGTCCAAGTACAAAGAAAATGGATCAAGGGACTTCTAGGTCTGATGAATCAACACCTGCTGCTTCTGTTACAACGTCTGAACGTACAAATCCTGCCACACAGCCCAAGGTGGTGACAGACACAGAGAAGGGGCAACTAAAGCCAAAAAGCCCGATCAAACCACCCCCGGTTTCGCTTGGCTTGGGAGGATACAGCTCGGACTCGGAATGATGGGTCAACATCCATGGATGACCTGGGAGGGTAGTTGGCAAATATATCCATGCTAGCGCTGTAAGATGTAGATCAAATTAACGATCGAAGAAGCAAATGTCCCTACAGGTATTATACGAAGGCATGCCTTGGCTACTTACTAGCGTTATAGATAATCTCTAAGAGACTTTGTTCTGAAATCCTCGAAATTTATGAACATTTCACTCCATTGGTAACTACCCACGTTGTGAATTTGTCTCAATGCCAAATCAACTTGGCTTTCCACACGTGCAACACAAACGATGTCCCCTCCAACTCCTCCCCTGTGGCTATGCTCTACTCAACGTGGAGCGCATCTTGCTTCACTTCCTGCTCTTCAACCTTTCGCTCCAGATCATGAGTCATATAGTTTTCCTTGCGACTTCCCGGCACAATCCATGGCGCGTTTGTGAACATTCGGTTCATTTCCTCGAGAGGTACCTGCTTTGTCTCCGGAAGTAAGAGCCAAAAGAAGAGCGCATTGGTGAAGTTGCAAATGACAAATAGGTAGTAAAAGCGGTATCCAATGTTCGTCATCGCAATGGGTGTGACCTGACCGATCATCGTGTTGAAAGCGTACGAAATCATCGTGGCAATCGATACACCCTTGGCACGTGTGCGAGTGTCGAACACCTCGGCTGGAATGATCCAGGTCAGAGGACCACAGGTTGCCGAAAAGGAGAAATTATACAACCAAGTCATGATGATAAAGCCCCAGTGCGCTCCGGTGTTGTTGCTTGATGGAGGGAACTGTGCAAGCAGCACGGTTGCAATGATGAAGGTCACCATATTGCCGAGGTTACCGAAGATCAGAGTCCAGCGACGACCAAAGCGATCAATATACATCATGCACAGGAACTGTCCGATCAATGCGATGATGGAATTGATTGCCTGGTACTTCAATGTGTCTTGGTTGGAAATTCCGATTTGGCCGTAAATAGTGGGTGAGTAGTATCTTTATATCGTGTTAGCTAAATGATTCTCTGTTGACCGACTGGCAGTGGTAAATCATTGTATACTTACTGAATAGCGGATACACCGGTCATCTGTCCCGAAGCTTGCAAGGCACAGCAAAGGAACAGCCGACGGAACGAGGAGCGATTGGTCAACAGCTCGACATACGACTTTGCCTCGTTCTCATGTTCAAATGTGATGCTCTCTTGAATTTGAGAAAATTCTGCCTGGACCCAAGCATCGTTTTCGTCCCCATGGGCATGCAGCTTGGCCAATGTGCGCAATCCCTCTTCGGCTCGGTTGTGGTCGATGAGCCAGCGAGGTGACTGTACACATGTTAGCAATTGGGCTTGAGCCGATGGAAACCAAAGCCTACCTCGGGGAAGAAAGAGATCAATAGACCCAACAGAACCGCAGGGGCAATCTGCAAACCAAGAGGCAGTCGCCATTGGGCATTGTCATTCGCTGCAAAGCCGGTGTAGGTTCCATAACCAATCCATCCGGCACAGAGCGACCCAATGCCAAGCATGAATTGCTGCAGTCCTGTCACTCGGCCACGGATGCTGGGGTGACAGATCTCAGCTTGATAGAGAGGAATCATCATCGTTAGAAAACCAACGCTAAGAAACAAGGTAGTTAGTGTTTGCTCTGGTCTCTGTTTCTGAGAGAGGTCACCTACCCTAATCCGGCCAGGCATCGTCCACTGTATAGATAGGCAATTGTTTTCGCACCGGTTTGGAGACCACCTCCGAGAGTGAAAATGAAACATCCCAATGAGATGGTCCGTCGTCTTCCTAAATAATCGCCACTTGGACCTGCGAAGCCAGCACCGATGCATGCGCCAGCCGTGAAGAGAGACACGACTAATCCTCTGCGCCGTTGTTAGAGATTTCCACATCTCGTGTGCTGTGCGAGACTTACGTTTGCGTATCATCTGCTTGAAACTTGGTTTTAAATGATTGACAGACAAGCACCTCTGCAATGACCCCCAGATCATCTGCAACCATGTTAGCTTCTGCGTGTTCGGATTGAAGGTTGGAGACATACATCCATAAAGAAATGATCCAAGAGAGGCAAAGACACCGACCAGAAACTATATTGAAACATGAGCACCGTCCTTTTCATGGAATTTTCCATTCATACCTGGTACCATGCTGGCGAGAGACGCATGACTTTGAAAAGTGGGGGTTTTTTTTAGATTAATATGGGGTTGAAGATCTACCTCCACATGTCACCAATGTCCGGGGTATCCTTTCTTAATATATGGAAGTACCCAAGAACACTTGAACCAAATGGGGCAATCAGACATGACTCCGGAGAACCGTATACTTCACGGGGCAGTCAACGCATGGACGACACTAACATAGCGTGGTTTAAACGGGGAAAATGCCGAAAAATGGTCTCCAATCGGTTCAAGTTTTTTTTTTTAATTCCGCTGGAAATGGTCCGAGGTGAAAGTTTGTGGCAAGCGGAGAGGAAATATATGTGGCGCACGATTGAGCCTGTGATTGACGGAACATCTCCCACATTTCTTTCGTGTCGGGGGGGATCGTGAGGCTAGACTGTGGACTCAATGGTTGATTGGTCAATCTTTGATCTAAAAAGATAACCGAGGACTTTGTGTCGTTTTCCCGGTAGCCACCACAGGCGCTACTAGAACCAATGCCAGCGTCATCGTCCGGATCTCACAACTGTTCCCCCGCAGGAGTTTTGCCGCTTCAAGGCCCGAGATGTCGGTTATTTTGATAAATCACCTACGATCTACGTACGATTCGCTTCTTTTCTTTGTCTTTTTTTGAATCGCACGTTTCTAACTTTATCAAGGACAACTTTCCCCTAAAGTTAACCGCGACTTGGGATCAGTTGAATCGCCTATTTAGCCAGAGTGACGCCTCGAACATATACAGTAGAAACAAACCTCCCATCTCATACAAAAGATGACGACCTTTACCAAATTGGAAGATCATGAGACGCCTCTCATCTCTGTGCACCCAGCAAGGCGCATTTCCAAGATCAACCCGAACATTTATGCTGGCTTTACTGAGTAGGGCTTCTCGGACTTTTTATACCTGTATGATGTGAACTAATAGGTTTTGCAGGCATATGGGACGGTGTATCTATGGTGGCATCTATGACCCCGGAAACCCGTTATCGGATGAAAAGGGATTCCGCAAAGACGTCCTGGAGGCGTTGAAGGGGCTCAACATTCCCGTCGTTCGGTACCCCGGCGGCAATTTCTGCGCGACATATCACTGGCTTGATGGCGTTGGTCCTAAAAACCAACGGCCAGCGCGGTATGACTACTCCTTAGGTGACATTGGTTTTTGCTAGAACTTCGCTGATGTTGGCTTGTTTAAAGACCAGAGCTAGCATGGCTCGGAACCGAGACGAATCAATTTGGCACTGATGAATTCATGCAATGGTGTGAGGCTCTCGGAACGGAGCCATACCTTTGCTTCAACTTTGGTACCGGCACCTTGGATGAAGGTATGTTAGCTTAGCATTGAATCCAGCCACAACAAGAAAAGATACTGACGTTGGGCCGCTTTAGCCTTGGGTTGGGTTGAATACTGCAATGGAACTGGCAACACTTACTATGCCAATCTAAGACGAAAAAATGGCCGTGAAGAGCCCTACAATGTATTTTCAGATGAGAGATGCAACCCTTTGCGCTAGATTCAATCTAACAACCTGCACAGGTCAAGTACTGGGCCCTTGGAAACGAGTGCTGGGGTCCCTGGCAGGTAGAGCAGATGACCAAAGAAGCATACGCTCACAAGGCTATTCAATGGGCCAAAGGTAATGCATCATCTCACTGTCAGAAGAAACTTCGCGCTAACGGCTCTTCTCGCAGCTCTCAAACTCCTGGATCCCACCCTCATCTTGATTCTCTGCGGTCAAGATGGTACTGCTTCCTGGGATTACTACACACTAAACCAGTGTCTTGTGCCTGCTCACTCCGCATTATCAACCAGCTCCGTTCCCTTGATTGACATGCACAGCATCCATCTCTACACATCCTCATCATCCCATCTGCACAACGTGACAGCACCACTGGCAGCCGAGCGCGCAATTGAAATCACATCTGCCTTGATCGATCTTGCCAGGGTAGAGAACAAAGTGCCCCCGGAGCAACTTCGCCCGACAATCTGCTTCGATGAGTGGAACGTCTGGGATCCAATCCGTGCAGAGGGAAGCCAAGGCGCCGAAGAGAACTACACCCTCTCCGACGCACTCGCAGTTGCCGCCTGGCTGAACGTCTTTGTCCGAAAGAGCAAGGATGTCAGCATGGCATGTATCGCGCAGACTGTGAACGTCATTTCGCCCTTGATGACCAGCCCAGAAGGAATCACCAAGCAGACCACCTGGTGGCCACTTTGGTTATTCTCGCGCTACATGCGTGGCTGGACAGTTGCAAGTCATGTTTCTTGTGGGACATACGACGGTGAGACCACTCCCCAGTGGATTCGAAGTGCCAAGGAGACGCCCTGGTTGGATGTTAGTGCTACTGTCGGGGATGACGGGTTTGTCAACGTTGCTGTGGTGAATATTCACGACACTCAAGATTTGGAAAGTCGGGTTGAGGGAGCCCAGGGAGAAGTTACTGTCTTTACGGTCACTGCGAGCGATTTGGCCGTGACGAATATGAAGGGCAAGGAAGAAGTGGCGATCCAGGAGTCAACCTGGAATGGAAATGGGTCGTATGTGTTCCCGCGACACTCGCTTACTCTGCTACGGTGGAAGGCTGAGTGAGGTAATCTATACAAGAGAGTACCCCGAGAGTAGCAATAGACTTTTAACAACTACGTAGACATTCGATCGGTTCAATTTGTTATTGTGGTTTGAGACTGGACGACCAGGTCCAGTAAATCGAAGCTAGATTTAACCGTAATTCACATCATGGACCATTCCATCATCGTTAACGTGGATGTTGAGTCTAGTGTGCCGTTAGCAACACAGTCATCGGCTCCATGGCACTTGCGATGTGAGGCCTTACCTGTTCGGATCATGATCCATGGTCTTCATGTCACCTGGCTTCAACACCCGATGAGTTTCAGGAAGATCTTTCTTTGCAAAGGACTATCAAAGGAGTCAGATTGTCGTGCCCATGTCGACCTTTTCTCATTGACGACATACTGTCTCGTTACTGGTGTCGCTAATTGTCTTGCCCATCAGCTTGTTGACCCACTGGGACTTATCTCCAAATGATGAGTTGATTCCTGGAACAACGAGCGGCATTATGGCTGATTCAAAGTGATCAAAAGACTCCAATAGAAGAGACGTGTTAAAGAGAGAGGCAAAGTGAAGTTCCTCGCGGACATGTCCCGTCCCTCATCTATGACGTAGTAACCCGATTAGGACTAGCGTCTTACCATCCATGTGACGCTCTAGAGATCACTTTACTCATCGGCCTTGGCATGTTAATGATGTTAGGCTGGAGGCTCCCCTATATCCAAAATAGGACAATGTGTCCCTATGTGATTGATCATATAGGAGTTCGCATTGAGGACAACAGAAGAACAGACCGGAAGTCAAGAATGCTGAGTCATGACTTGACGCGGGGCCATGAGGGGCATGATCTGATGCGGGGCGCCAACAAGGCACTCCAACACGGCTCGACAAGGTGTCAAACACATTACGGCATTCAAGAAGGACATTCTTCGGTACATTCATAAGTCGTCGAAATGAAAGCCCAACTTCTACTACAAGTAGATAGCAACAGGTGGATGGGGTCTTCGCAGCAGTCCAGTTGAGCTCTCCCCCGTCTCGACCAATCAGGGTAGGTCAACCTTTTCAATTCATGACCTCGGCCATCAATAGTTTGCGATTGATTAAGACTTGCAGATGAAGACACTAAAGCGTAGCTCTGGGGCAGAGCTCACTTTGTTGATGGGAACTGCTGGAAAAGAGCTTCCCGAAGGAAACATCCTACTAAGTTATCCAGTACAGACAACACAAATGTCGCAATTCAACATCATCACGCCTTTTCCACTCACCTAGGAAAGATTGGCTCCTGCAACAGACCAGTATCCACTGGAAGCGATCGTAAAATGCATTAGTATTACCTTGGCGTGAGTGTTTATGCGCAGAGCCATATCACGATGAAGAATATCCCAGCCGTCGTGTCATAAAGGGGTGCAGCATTCCAACTCCCAACGTTGTTATCAAGGGATTTAAGACTTGCACAAGTTGACCTCGCAACTGAACTGCGATTTCGGCCATCTTTCTATAGGCTTACCTAGCGGATCCCTGTCAACCTCATATGGCGATTCTCCTGAACCATCTTGCGCAATACTCGCGCAATACCTTCCATTTCTCATACTAGTGTTCATTGATACGACTAAAGGCATAGCGCTTACTTGAATTAGTAGGGAATTGCAACTGAAACATGCGATCCGACGCGAAGGGCGATGGTGTGGTTATCTACTTGCGTGCTAAGACGCAATCTGATACCATCTTGCGTCATGCGTTGATGCCAAATCAGCCCGGAGAGACTATGATTTTGAAGAATTAAAAGAAGATCGATATTCCACAACTTGTTTCATATAGTATCCGACAACAAAAATCCAAGACCGTCAAAAAGTTCTCAAGTCACCATGGCGGAGTTTATCAGTGTCACGTTTCCGAACGCCTCTACCGAGATCAATCCCATTGCCAAAGCCTCTATTGATCCCGAGTATCTCGTTCGCTACGCTCGCAACCTTGATGATTACGGTTATAACTACACACTGGTTCCCTATGGCTCCGCACTTTATGACCCATTCACCATTGGAGCCACCATCCTGGCTGTGACCAAAAACGTCAAGGTCATCATTGCTCTGCGACCCAACACACTGTACCCTACAGTGGCAGCAAAGGCACTGGCTACACTCGATCAGCTCAGCCGCGGTCGCGTCGTTGTTCACTTCATTGCCGGTGGAAGTGACGCAGAACAGGCGAAAGAAGGTGACTTCCTCAGCAAGGATGAACGCTACGGCCGCCTGGAAGATTACATTAAAATTCTCCGCCGTGCATGGAAGTCCGATGAACCATTTGACTGGGACAGCAAATACTACACCTTCAAGCAATTCAGCAATCAAGTTCGACTGACCGGCGACTCCATCCCCGTCTCAGTCGGTGGCTCATCGCCCGAAGCGTACCGCATTGGAGGCTCCCTTGCTGATATCTTTGGGCTTTGGGGTGAACCTTTGAAAGAAACCAAGGAGCAAATTGAACGCATCTATGCCGAGGCAGCAAAAGCCGGCCGTCCCGAGTCGGACAGACCTCGGATCTGGGTGACTTTCCGCCCTATTGTCGCAGAGACTGAAGATCTTGCCTGGGCCAAGGCCCACCGAACCCTTGATGCACTGAATTCCAACCGAGCGAATGGGCAAAGTAGAGTCCCCGTGAACGCGCCGCCCCCACAGAATGTGGGCTCTCGGCGTCTTCTTGATATTGCCACTCGTGGGGAGGTCCAGGACCGCGCACTTTGGTATCCCACTGTGACCGCAACAAATGCACAGGGTGCCTCGACTGCCTTGGTTGGATCGCCCCAAACTATCGTCGATTCCCTCATTGACTATGTTGATCTTGGCGCCGATCTCATCTCCATCCGCGGCTACGATAATCTGAACGATGCCATTGATTATGGACGATACATTCTTCCCAAGGTTCGTGAAACATTAAAGGAACGGGAGAACGATGCTTCAAAATAATTGGTGAATGTGGGAACTGGTCTTAATGTACATCATTGCTCCTCGGTACATATGAATCGGATCAAACCTAGTACTATAGACTTTTCTGTTTAAGCTTCAATCCTCATCTTTGGCTACCTTTTGATTGCCAAGTAAACGTGAACTCCTCTCTTAGCGTTTTGGAGAATTTTTGCCGTATTATCTCGAACATAAACTGAATTTCTTGTTGCAAAATCCGATCAGACGTGGCAGATGTGGGAAGACGATTCCCAATAACGGTGATGACAGATACAGATTGGAACCAAAGGAAAACTCTTCATGCTTGGAGAGTCTTTTCTCATATACAGTGATGAGGCTTCGTCAGAGGGAGCTAGACTCGGTCATCCGACCATTATCTCACCCATCTGAGCACACGCCGATCTGTTTCTTTTGAAAGTTCATTTACACAAACTTCACGAATTTCCTTCCACACTCGAGCTTGAAGCTTCCGGCCCTCACTTGTGGACGCATGTTCAACACTGCCAGTTATGTTTAGATGCTACGTGAAATTCAATCAGAGTTGGAATGACTTACTCCAGGAAGCTGTCGTTGGTCCAAAACTTTCCATGGCCATCTGCACCAAGCAACGACGCACTTATCAAGGACCGACTTCCCTCCTCCGCGGATCTCCCGCCATATGTGTTCAGCAACATCATGAGAATTTTGCTAGGCCAGGAAAGGTTCCGGCAGATTTTAGTCACTGTATAGCCGGGGCAGACTACACTGATAGTCACAGGGAGTGGTTGATCCGGAAGCGCAGCCAGATAATCGTCTATCAATCCCTGCATAACATAGACAACCAAGAGTTTTGTGGTGAGATATGAGCTCCGCGGGTGAAATGACCCGGGCTCATTCAAAGCTTCCAGCACTTTGGGAGCATCATAGGGCATCTTCTCCGTCACCGAGATGCACTGAGCACTACCGGTGAGTATAAGCTGTGCGGGTTGCCCGTTTTCGGCTGACCCTTGTTTGAGGAGAGGTAGAATACAGATGGCGAGCAAAGCCGTGGACAGGACATTGACCTGTAGCGCTGACTCCCAGCCTGTTTCTTTGACAACTGAATAGGTTCCAGGGGCAACTCCAGCATTCAATATGGCGACTTGTAGGCCATCTGCTCCGACCTCTTGCGCCAAGCCGGTCGCAAAATGCTTCACGCTTCCAAAATCATTCATATCAAGCTGCATGACAATGATGCTATGACATTTGCACTCCTTCTCCACAGAGACCTGGATTTTTTGCTTGGCCGCATACCCCTTTTCAGGTGTTCGAACGGCCAAGATCACCTTCGATGCTCCCAGTTTGACAAACTTCATGGCAGCTTCATACCCTATACCCGAGTTCGCACCAGTGATCATGACATTTTTTCCTGAAAACGAGACCTGCGGATCATTGGGCGGATTTTTCGCTCCCCATCGCATGGCTTGTATGCTTTCAAGTCCTGGGGGTGGCTTAGTCCCAAAGAGCTGATCTAGCTCATGGCGTCCAATCGGAACAGACATCGCAAGTTGAGAATGAAAGCCACCAAGTACAGTTTATTCTTCAGTTAACAAGGATGAAATGCGAACATAAAGAAGTTCACCAAAACCTCAATTATCCGGTGTAACATGGCCGAAAAAAGAACAGGGGTACTTTTGTGCTGCAAGCCACAGGATTACAGACATCCTGTTGGGCATTAAGATGTACTTCCCTGTTGCATACGCCACCCTATGGCTCCTTGCAGATGCGCGGCCGTGAGGATCGACAGCTCATATGTTCGAGGAACGCAACCATGATAGGTAGCTTACACCGCCATTTGGCGATTGAAGATAGGAAGGATGGGCTCAGGTGGAAGGATTTGAATGGAGACTCTCTACTATGACGACAAATTACACGGTCCTTTGTGTCAGACATATCACACTTGAAACTGCTCTGAGCTGAAAAGCATAGGTGATTTCTTATACATCGTAGAGACACAGGTCGAATTGATTTTTGCAGGTCCAATCTTCCGATCTTTGGACAAAATGACAGTCCCAGAAACACCAAACAAGTCTGTGAGGACATTTGAACCGTTCTATCTCACCTGCTTGGATCATACGGTGGGACCGGTTTTCATGAACTTCTTTCTATCGTTCCGCAAAAACACAGAAGAATGTCTTATTGCCATCAACCAAGGAGTCAGTGGTCTTGTTGAAAGGCTGCCAATTTTGGCCGGAGATGTCATCCAAACCACCTCGCCAGATGGAAGGAAGAATGTCATGCAGATCGTACCATCTTCAACCCTGATCCACGAAGTTCCTATGGTTTCCATCAAGCATCACCCCCACCACGTGATACCAAATAAAAACCTCCAAATCAAAGCAACAACTAGTAGGACCGAGAAGTTTGCATCTCTGGACGATTCTTACGTGCCTCCTGTCTCTTTGTTGCCCATTTCACCAGGTCCACGACCTGTTTTCCGTCTCCAGGTCAACGTCCTCGCAGACGGCCTTGTGCTGGCGGTAGGGTTCCACCACAGCGTATTTGATGCCACGGGGGCCGGGCGGTTGATTGAAAAGCTAGCGGAGCGTTGCCGTGACCCTGGCTCCCAGAATTTGACACCCACATCTGAGCTCAAGGAAGAGATATATCTGAGGCGTCTGGTTGACGACGCTGGGATGCTAACAGCCAGGTCATCCTGTCGGGACAAGGAAGAAAGCCAGGACTGCAAGATCGAAGCGCCAACGGCCGAATCGGACTGGGTAATGCCCAAACTGGACGTCTACTCTTTTCACTTCGCGGCTGCGACCATCGCACAGCTCAAGACCGCCTGTAGCGGGGTGTTGTCAGATCTTCAGTCCCGGCAGCACGACGATGACGTGAGGCCTGTTGATGACTCAAGAAATCCCAAGCAAAAATTCATTTCTACCAACGACATTTTGACTGCTTTAGTTGCACTCGACATGTACAAAGCCCGCACCCATCAGATGAAAGATGCCCAGACCGACAAAACCGCAGAGATGGTCATGATTGTCGACCTGCGTAAAAGATTTGCCTCCCTCCCAAGCACCTATCTGGGGAATAGCGTCTCTATCATCCGTGCAAATGCACACCCCCATAGTGTGCTACCCAAACCGGCCGTTTCGATTTCCAAACGGCACCAACATCCTACCATAGCGAACGCCGCACTTCTCGAAATCACAGCACTGGCCCTTCAGATCCGCCAGAAGCTCGCCTTGATTGACGACCCCAGTGTGCGCCGGGATCTAGCCCGCCTGATGAGAAAGCAGGATTGGAGCCAAATGGGTACACACCTTCCGAACATGATGGTGTCAAGTTGGCGACAGCTGAAGGTGTATGGGTTGGATTTTGGCCCCGCTTTAGGTCAAATTGTTGAGTTCAACCCGCAGGCTACGCTAGTAGACGGCTTCTGTATTATCCAGCCGGAGCGTGCGAGTGAATCTGGGGAGAAGTCTGGATGGGAGGCTTACGTTACACTACAATCGGATGCCATGGGGTCATTTCTTCAAAACGGGACATTTAGTACTCTGTCACAGGACAAAGTTGCGAGGTATGTTTCGTAAAACACTCTCAAGACAGTGGACTATGCAAGACCTCTGTAAGTAGTCCTCTTTTCTTTCATTCGTTTTCTTTTCGCAAACTACGTGTAACCTTTTAGTGCTAAATCGTGGGCTGTCAAAGAATCCAACGAAGGATTATGAATGTCCTTGGTTTTTGCTGTAAAAGTCCAAATTATAAGCGCAGAGTGTCCTGCCGAGCTGGAGAATGATAGGTCAAATGAATGACGATCCTAGGTGGTTGAGTTAACTATGGAATGTCTTGCTATAACCCACAGGCCATGCATAGACATTTCTAGGTCGTTAGATATGCATATTACCAAACAGCTTCGTTGCAGGATGATGCATCACTGCATTAATGAAATATTACTTAGTGATGCACCAACCAGATTCCAAATAAACTACTGCATTGATCGTGTTGGAGCATAGGCCATTTTTACAGCTGCAGAGTATCTTGGAAAAAGGCGAGAGCTGAAAAAGACCCCTTGCATACCTATCGCAACGAAGTAATTTCTGCCCAACATCATGATCAATAGGAAGGTGGTCGGAAAGTCGAGTCCTTCTGAGTCAAAGTCTTCTCACCGAGAGTAAAATCACGGAGAAACTCTCTCTACTTGAAATCTTTGTCAACCCACCAGACCAAAAAAAAAGGAGGTAAAATGTTTGAGCCAATTGAGACCCTGAGTCACGACGAGAAGCCCGTGCCGGTCGTTGCCACCGCAGTGGAGATTCCGGGAGAAGATATCGACCCTCAGCAATATATTCCCGAGAATAACTGGAAGAACGCGACATCTCATCCAGTAAACTCTACGTTAAATGAGATCTTTGATCAACACGTTCTCGAGCGTCCAAATGCCCTTGCCGTCTATGCCTGTGATGGTTCATATACATACCGCGAGCTGGCAGAGCGTTCAGCAGGTATGGCCTACGAACTCCGCCAGCGGGGAGTAAAACCCGAGGTCCTGTCAGCCCTGTTGTTCGAAAAGTCTAAGCTCATCACCGTTGCCCTACATGCGGTCCTCAAGGCGGGCGGAGCGTTTGTGCTGTTGGATCCCAGTCTGCCTGTGGGTCGCTTGCAAGCTATCTTTGCAGAGTCCGGGGCACAAATGATCATCTCGTCGGCCGCAACGGCCGGCATCGCGGCAAAAATCAGCTCGAACTCGATGAGAGTAGATGACCAACAAATTCCTCATCCGTCTGTCGAGTCTTCCGAGGGGCCATTCAATCGGCCCGAAAACGCGCTCTACAGTGTTTTCACATCAGGCTCCACAGGCACACCTAAGGGCTTCCTTATGGAGCATCGGGCGCTGGTAACCTGCGCACTGGCGTGTGGCCAATCGCTGGGGTTGAACAAGAATTCCCGAACGCTCCAGTTTTCGTCCAATTCCTTTGACCTGGCGACATTTGAGCATCTGATTCCGTTTGTCTTCGGCGCATGCATTTGCATTCCTTCTGAAGAGGAGAGGAAGGGTGACCTCACCAAGGCCCTCCAAAAATATCAGATAACCCTTGCCATGTTAACTCCCTCGGTTAGTCGACTACTAGAACCAGAACATCTGCCAATCCTGAAAACTGTGATGCTATGTGGGGAGCCTGTGCTCAGTGAGGATGTGTGCCGGTGGTCTCCCTATGTTCACCTGCATAATGGCTACAGCCCCGCGGAAGCCGGGTGCATTAATATCATGAACTCTGCCATGAAAGAGGACTACCCGAACAATATAGGATACTCACTGGGAGTCACCCCCTGGGTCGTGCACCCGGACAACCACAATCAGCTACTGCAGGTTGGAGAAGTAGGAGAGCTAATCATCCAGGGTCACACCGTGGGCAGGGGGTATTTTGGCCCTCGTGAAAAAAGCCAGTCGACCTTCATCGATGCACCTACGTGGATCAGAGAGTTTGCCCGGGAATCATATGGATCATTGTATAAAACCGGCGATCTTGTTCAGTTCAACACGGACGGATCGATGCAATTTCTGGGTCGCAAGGACTCCCAAGTGAAGCTCCACGGGCAACGGCTGGAACTGGGCGAAATTGAACATCAGCTGCGACAGCATTTCCCATCCCCTCACGCGATGATTGTCGAGTTGGTGACGGCAGAGAACCGGGAGCCCAATTTGATTGCGTTTGTGAGTCGGTCTCAAGACATGACCAGTGTGATCACGGACAAAAATCTTTTCCTGGTGCCAGACGACCAATTTACCGCCGACGCGAGAAGTGCTGAAATAGCCTTGCGGGAGAAACTGCCCGCGTACATGGTTCCCTCGGACTTCCTGCTGCTCTCCCACCTGCCTATGATGCCCTCCGGGAAGACTGACCGTCGGTCTATTCGCACGGTGGCTGCAAATCTGGTGCCGATGGAAAGGAGGAAATACAGCAGTATGCTAGCGACTTCTCAGGGCCAGCCATCGAGCAAGCTCGAAGAGTCTCTGGTGCACCTCTGGGCATCCAGTCTTAAAATCCCCGTCGATCAGATCGGCACTCAAGACAATTTCTTTAGTCTCGGCGGCACCTCACTTGACGCCATTCGCCTTGCTGCCAGTGCGCGCAAACTGGGATATGCCGGCTTGTCGTCCGCCGTGGTGTTCAAGAATCCAACTATCCAGTTGATGGCGGGCATGTTGGAGGGGGTTGTCCAACATCCCGTGTCAAACACGCCATCATCAGTGTCATTCCAGCTGGACTCAACTTTGACAGATCACCTCTTAGCCAAATGTCAACTGCAAGTCAATGAATTGGAAGGAGGCTTCCTTCCCACCACTGCTTTCCAGCAGAAGTCTGCTGGATTGAAATGCATGCATATCACTCTGGATATCTCTGGCCTAGATCATTCCCGGTTGGAGGCTGCTTGGGAGACTGTTCAAAAGAAACACATCTCCCTTCGGTCCGTGTATGTTACTCATAACGGCTGTGTCTACCAAGCTTTCCTTCGCCACCCCGAAAGCGCAATTTCCATCCAAGATTGCGACAATCAGCCGGTAAAGGAGGCTGCAGCGAGCTTTTGTGACCGTGATGCCGAGCCCGTCCTCAATGGGACCCGTTGGTGGAAGCTAACGAGAATCATCCACAAACAAGACAACCGCAGTCTGCTCATTATCCGCACCACCCACGCGCAGTTTGATGCCATGACGCTAAATGTCATGTTTAAAGACTTTATGGCCGCCTTCGAGGGCCGTGAATTATCCAAATGCGAGCTGCAATTCTCCGATTACATGATAAGTCGTGTAAAACAAAACTTGTCTTCCCCAGCGATCGACTTTTGGACCCAATTCCTACATGGTTCCCAGATGAGTCAACCGGTATTCACGGACAAGTCCTCCACTGGCCTGCCTCCGGATCATGTTGGCATGGTGTTTGTTATGCGCCCAATTACCCTGACCCCTCTTCTTCCCGTTGGGATCACCCTCGCGTCTGTGTTCCGGGCTGCCTGGGCATTTGTGCTCGGAAAATACACCAGACAAAGCGACCTGGTTTTTGGCGAATTCGTCGAAGGTCGCACGCTTCCTCTCGTGCAGGATATAGAGAGCATCACGGGATGCACAGCAGCGGAGACTCCAATGCGTATTACCATTCCTCATTACCAGGGGGCCACTGTTCAAGATCTCCTCGCGCACTCGCAGGCGCAATATGCTACTCGGATGCCGTTTGAAACCTGCGAGCTACCAGATATTGTTCCGCATTGTGTTCCCTCTTGGCCGGTGCAGACTGCTCGGTTTAGTCACCTCCTAGTTTTGGAGAACACCGAGGCCATTCCTCCGATCGTTGTCGATGGTCAGGCGTGTGCGCATAATTGGGCGTTTCATGGACGCCTGGAAGATGTCCAAGTGCAACTAGTTCCTGGGAAAGATACCTTGCATGTCGCTATCCTTGGGCCGGAGATTCGGCTGTCGCACGAGATTGCAAGTATGCTGGTAGACAAGCTGGCGATGACTCTCGATCAATTCCTCTCGAAGCCTGATGCATTGATTTCCGAGATTCAGTGGTAGTTATCGCAAAAGACGACCATCTGTTACGTGGAATCGAGATATGGCTTAGAATTACCTAGCAATGACATGTTCATTCTCGAAATCCCTTGTGGTAATTACTCTGCGCGTGTATTGTAGCCGTTGGCCAATCACTCGGTATCAAATGAGGAGTCTGCATCTACCATCAAATGTAACTCACGACTACCACCTGTCAAAAGCCTGTAGGTGTCCTACTCTCTAATTCGCTAGCTTTTCCCTCACATGCAGGGCCTCGCCTTTAGGTGATGATACAGTATTTGAGCAGAAGGCCACAGGATGCGTTTAACAAAGTAACTGATTTTATCGTTTTCACTATAGCCACCGCTTCTCTATACCCCTACAGAGACCCCTTTCCTCGCAGGATATAATCGTCTTCCGCATGGAACAATCCATCCACCGGCGCATTTGTGGGAACGTATGCGTCCGCATCTCTCTTGCTCAGAGCATCCACTACTTTGGCAAACTCCTCATGAGTGTGACTAATACAGTCATGGCAATGAATCCAAGCCGGCCGTGAAATCGCATTGAAACGATCGCCGGAAGTGCCAGTATCCATATCACCTTCAAGAGTGACTTCCTGGGCTTCAACGGAGCCTTCCTGGATCAGGGAGACCCTTCTATATCTGAGGAGTAGTTGATATCAAAACCAGTTCCGACGAAGGGCGGCTAGTGCAAAACATACCTGAGCTTTTCCATCACACGCAACGCCAGGGGAACGCCATCCGATTTCGGGGTCCTCGAATCTTTTGAAAGCGACGCCAGCCGCAAGCAAACTGCCACCACGGCGGCATCCTCAATGGCCTGGTTAGCCCCCTGCCCAGTATGTGGCAGGAATTGATGCGCCGCGTCCCCGATCACAGCCATTCGACCCTGGCGCGACACCCATGTCCGTATCGGTTTCCTCGTGACCAGCGAATGATTGAAACATTTGCCTTGAGGGGTTTTTGCAATCACGGCGGAGAGCTTATTGGCAATTGGCCAGTCACGGATGTATTTCAGGACCGGGGTAATAGATGCGGCTTGGACCCAGTTGGTGGTAGCTTTCGTCGGGTCCTGTGGCCGAAACCTATGGTCAGTATGCATCATCGACATGCCCAAGTTGGGGGTGCCGTACCCTATGTGAGCAATTCCACCACACATATTTTCCCTTTGCCATGGTCCCCATAAGAATCGTGACATCCTTCCCAAGGTAGATCTCATGGCGGTCATGTGCCGACACGCCCTGCAATACCCACTGTGCATCAGGATCCGTGGCGATCACACTCGCATCAAACGTTGATCGAAAGATTGCACCTCCGGTTTCCAGAAGAGTGGCGGTGTCCGCTTCTGGGCTGTCCCCGGTGATGACGGCGCGTGTTTTGCTATAAATACCATCCGTCCCAATCACACAATGTCCGCTAATTCTTTCTGCACCCTGAACAACGACACCTGCCGTTGTGGCTGTCTCCCAGTATTCTTCTACCGCCACTCCATATCGCAGATCCAACCTGAGATCAGATGTCGCGTACTGATACAGCGCTTCGACCAGGTCTGACCGACGAAGAAACAGTCCCGCCACTGGACTATCGGCGCCGAAGGGGATGCTGTATTTCAATTCTCCAGCACTACTGAAGATCTCCACGGAAGATAGTTCGCTCCCGAGAGATGTTAGGGTTGAGGCGACGGAAGTGCCGTTGGCGGTGGGCCATTGCGAAAGGACCTTGAGTCCATTTTCACTGAGGCCAATTAGATCCCCTAAACTCCGGCGGGATGTTCAGCGAGGTGTTTATTTGACAATGCTCACGGCCGGGATATGCAGGAAGGACTCACCCAGTTGGTATACCGTGCTTTTCTTCTCCAGGCCGATCACTTCGTGCCCTTGTCGATGACATTCAATCGCGGCAGTGAGTCCGGCAATCCCTAGGCCGACAATGATCACCGTAATGCCAGTGGTGGGGGTTGCTTTTGTCATTGCAGTGGCTGTCTGAGATCGTATAAAGAAAGAGATTGATGTGCTACTGCTGCCGAGTACAGAGAGGAAATGGGTGAGCAAGATGCAATTCTTCTACGTGGACCCGTAAGGACAGCATCCGCACAATCAATCCCTACAGCTTACTGAGATGAGTGTGTTATTTGGATGTATAGGAGAATCTGATGTGGCGGTGTGGTCTACTTGCATTGCACCTGCAGGCAGCGGTCAGAATGTAGAAGTAGAGCACTTGGTATGTATCTTACGCCACCAAATTAAATGAATCAATGCTTTAGGATAGGATCTTCCGCTGAGGGTAGTCTGGACTCCTTGGAGCTTACTATCAAGTCCAGTCTTCCAATCTGGCTGACTATCTCACGAGTGCCCCCGATCCTTGCCTCAGCTCGCAATTCGGTTTATGATAACCTGGGACGTTTCCAGTTCCCCAGGATAAAAAATGAGCCCCGCTTACCTCCTCGCCCCCACTGACTGAGATATGACTGTTTCCGTTGTAACTATGGCCCTTCACACGCTAGAAGCATCATCCGATGTTGAGCAGGAATGCCAATTGCACAATTTGAGCCATGGCCCAAACCCTCTCGCAGGTACTACCCCGCCACCTCAATTTCTCAAGATGGGAACTGACAAAACCCCCAAATGGCCAGGCATACCAAAGTTTGACTCCTTTGCTGAACACCGGAAGCATATTCTGGTGCATCTGGCCGCGGTATTTCGCAACTGGGCGCGTGTGGGCTTCACCGAAGGGATTTCAGGTCATATCAGTGTGCGCGATCCAGAACACGCGGAGTATATTTGGATGAATCCAATAGGAAAGCACTTTGGCCTGTTGACAGCAGGCGACATGGTGTGTCTCGAGATCAAGACAGGAACCATCGTCGGTGGTAATCGAGTAGGTTCCCACGCCCCTTGTACATCATTATCCCCTTGCGACCCATTTCTAATTCAGCTATCAGACTCGGCCTGTCAATACCCCTGGCTTCTTCATTCACTCCGAGATTCACCAAGCCAGACATGACGTCCATTCGATTTGTCATGCACATACTATTGCCGGCCGCGCGTGGGCTACGTTTGGCCAGCCCTTAGACATGATCACGCAGGATGTCTGTGACCTGTACGGTGTGCTAGCGGTGAGTAAGGAGTACGGGGGGATCGTCACGGCCCAGCAAGAAGGGCAGCAAATCGCAAAAGCCCTCGGGAGTAAGGGCAAGGCCGCAGTACTGCTCAACCACGGTCTTTTGAGTGTTGGCTCCACCGTCGACGAGGCCTCATTTCTCTTTACGCTCTTAGACCGCAGTTGTCAGATCCAATTGCAGGTGGAGGCGGCCTGTGCGGGCAATCCCGCCCTGAAGAAACATATCATTCCCAATCAGCTGGCTCGGTTTAATTTTGCCATGGCCGGCCAAAAGGACTGGTTATATGTGGAGGCACAGCCAGATATTGAATATGAGATTGCCATGGCCGGTGATGCGATCATGGTTGGGTTGGACGAGAGTTTCGTATCAAGTCCCAAGAAACCTGGGCCAGTACCTCTTTGAAAATTTTTCAATAGCTGTCCTCTGTATAAAGGAATGAGACAATTTGACATGAGCCTTGCAGTAGTAGGTATGTACTCTAGCGTACCCTAGACATCACCCACATCCACTACATCCGCCATTTCCCCAAGAGTGTCAAATCGCCAGTCATACACGGGCTCATCCACGTTGCCCATGATGGCCACTGCACGTGAAATCCACACCGATTTAAGTCCCACCTTCTGCGCGGGTTGGTGGTCGTGAAATTGGCTCTGCGCGGTGTGCAGGACTTGATTCGGTTCGACTCCCAGCTCCTCCTTCACTGCGTTCAACAGGTACTGAAAGTTGCGTAAATCGGGTTTGTATGAGCCAATCTCCTGCGCAGTAAGCACCAAATCAAATGGGAAGCCCTGCAGACTCCCTGCGTTGGTTTTGGAGAAAGAATTTCGATCCACATTAGACACCACTACAAGTTGGTAATGCTTGGACAGTCGCTTCAATGCGTCTAACGTATCGGGGAAAACCGGCCAATGCGCCACGCTTTCGCCAAAGCGCTTGTTTTCTTCCGGGGTGGGTGAAGGCAACCCCAATTTTTCGACCAATTCCGGATGCACCGCGGTCAGCAATTCACTGTAGAGCATGCCCGGGGACTCGGTCTCATGTTTCAGTTCAAGGTCATGGAAAAGGTGGAGCAACTGATCGCGTGGAAACTGGACGCCGTAGCGATCTAGCGTCACTTGGAGGGCGGCACAGATACCTTCTTCCCAGTCGACTAAGGTGCCGTAGACATCAAAACTGAGTAATCGGTATGCCGACAGCTGAGACATAGCTCTTGAACCTGACTGGAATGAACCTTTGGAGTAGATAGGATAGGACGGTAGAAGAATTTTGATGCGGAGTGTCGGTTTCCTATTATAGCCACTAAAGGAATTCCGTCCTGTTGTACGGAGTACAGAGTACCAATGCGAGACTTAGACTGCTGAACAATTTTCATCTGTCACAATAATTCTGCGCGGAAGAGGCAAAGTTGACAGGTGCACGCATGGAGTGCATTTGAGTCGATGTTTGTGCAGGCTATGCATCTTATTCGTTTCGTGACCTGCAGTCAAGATGATGGGATTTTGTGATCTTGGCATAAGGGAAACAATCTCCGTAGATAACTCGTTTTCGTCCCGGGCTAATGCAGGCTACTGTAGGTCGATGCCGGTCGATGCAGGCCGACATGAGTTATCACATACCTCCGCCTGCAATCTCAATGTCCCTAGACGTATCATGTATCTACATGGAAATTAGCGGTGTAGTCCAAAGTCATAGCACCGGCTGCACTTTTTCGATAACCCTTGCCGTTCAGGGATTTTCTATAAACTGGCGGTGTGGTAAGAAGCTCTCCTTCTCCATGGCATCACCAGAGGAGCTACTCCGCATGTTGCACTGTGGCTGGTGGGTGCATTCGGAGAGAAACCCCTGCACGCAGGAGATCGAGATCTGACGACAGTGATCTCCACAAGATCTTTTGGCTGGCGTGCTTGAGGACCTATGGTGGAGGGAGAGCAGAGAAACGTAGTATTTGATGGAGACTTCCCGTTACAAGTCTTAGAGGTTCCAAGTAACAAAAGATGGCATTCTATGGAAACTACCAAGTATCCTCGGGGGGGGGGACTGTGTTGCCAATGCAATATTCTCTTCCGAGTTCTAGCGAGCTAAGCGTTGCAGATAGCTCCATTGTTGTCAAGAGCCGGAAAGAAAGAAAACGAAGTCAGAATCGAATGGCTCAACGAACCTACCGTAAATCCCTCCCTCTATCCTACCCGTGACAGAGACGCAAAACCGCCAGCTAATGAACACTAGGCCAGCGTGTCAAAGCTCGTCTGGCAGAGCTCCAGGAAAGAGTTGAAGTCGACCAACGAATTCGAGTGCAGCGGAATGACGAGAATCACTCATTGGAGACCAGGGGTGCGCAGTCACAGCTGAACCGTGTGCAATTTCCCCCATAATTCCTTCCGCATTGGACGGATCTGCTACCTTGGGTGTGGTGCCGCAAGAGAGCTCATACCAGGAACAGCATTCTACACAACACATCCACCATTCGCAGAATGTACGGGAGAGTGGTGATACGAGTATAGTGGAGGTTAAGCGCATTCTAACTGAGATCAGTTCTCCCCACAACCAACCGGATCAAATCATCTGGCAAGAGGATGTACACTTTCCCGGGAATAGTATAGATGGTCTTGACACAAAGCTAGGTAGGTGGCGTAAAGCCTCGCTCCTGTATGATAGGACAGTGTCTTAACAGAGCTGGGGAACCCGACACGGGTGCTATCTTCGTGACAGAAAGCCAGCGTAGCGGGGACCTTCTTTTGGACACCTTGGGTGACGTCTGGAAACCAGAACCTCCTTGTCCGCCAATGAGAAGAATGCGGTTGCTGGAAAGCGCATCCAATTCCACACACACTTCAGATTCGTCATACAATCCTCCAGACTTGGTAGTTTCCGCACACCAAAGCTTTTTGACCGACCGTCTTGAACGTGGGATGGACTGTGTCATTGAGAGTGGGTTCGAAAATTTTGACGTGCTGGTCACAGCCTATTATAATGGGATCTTTGCAGACTCATCGCCCCTAGTGTGCGAACACCGTCTAAGTCGCACTAGACGGCTGCCCAAAGTCATCGCAGATATATGTCATGCCGCAGGCCAATGGGACTCATGGGAGCGACGCTTGTTACAGGAAGAAATCATGAAGACTACGGAGAGAATCTTATCTTCGGAGAGTGATGACACGCGAAGCAGCCTTACCGAATGCATCACGCTCTTGACCCAGGTGCAGGTGCAGGTGCAGGATACGACGAGCAAAACATGTAGCCCCGATTCTATAGAACAGATCATGCAGAATGAGGTAGGAAGATTGCCTGCTCCACTGAAGGAAGCATACTGAATGAAACTCATAGCTTCCAACCCGATGGTCTCTGATGGTGGGGCTTACCGCCGACGATAGAGCAGCCTGGCAACGAGATCGATCAGACACAGCCCTTGCAGCCATTGTCCTGTTGCATTTCGCCGGTCGCATGCCAAAAGAACAGCTGCTTCGGCTTCTCAGCCTACTCTTGTGAGTAAAGTTTGAGATGTTCATAATGCATCTCCCAGAAAGTAGACTCTCAGCAGCCGGTCCTGCATTCTGTTAGGCTTTGTGTGGCTTTGGGCAATGAATCCATGAATCGAGACGTGTACATATCATGAGAAAAGTTGTGGGGAATTCGGTTCAACTGGTTCGTCTTTCTGGCGAAACCCAGCAGGTTGAATGTAACTCCATATGTAGGAACAGAAGGTGAACGGATTCCATCATCGGGCTCCTGCAGGCCCAGAATTAAAAATCTCTCCGGACACACTGCACATTGCCAGGTAATGAATCGTAATCAACCTACAGGGCATGATGCACTCGTGGTCCGGGTGCATACGAAAGTAAGCCATCAAATGTGCCCAGGTGCAGGAGTCTTACGTTGGGCACCTAGGGCTTCGGCACCTCCGCCAATGAGTTCCAAAAGCAATACACAAAAGGGGATATCTAACGATGAACTAAGCACTAACGGCTCGTTTGAACCTTTCCAGATTTTTTTGCAACCTTGCCAGCCAATTCTTCATTATCCTGGGGATTTTGGAAACTCCTGCTACGGCAAGCATCAATGGAAACAATGTCATCACTCAAACATCTATGGGGTATGGTACGCCCTTTCTCAAGTCTTCGGCACTGCCTACGTGGTTATGGTCCCCAACAGCAACGTTATCGGGGACTAGTTGTGGCAAGTTCAGTCTTGAATGAAACTCGAGTCGTGGCCATGAAACCCCGTCAGCCCCCGCTGAACGTTCATAAACAGAGGGGCAAACCCGAGTTTTATGATGCCATCAGCCAGATCTGCCAATTACGCCAAAAGTATTTGGAGAATCGGACCGTTTTCGTGGATGGCAGGGAGATGGCACCACTCCTGAAGGCGCTTGGGGCTCGAGATGAAGACTTTGTCACACTCCAAGCCGTGAACAATGTCCTCATTGATGACCCAACCCTACCTTTCCGCAAGTCCCGCAATGGAAGATTCTGCTTCGACTGGGAGACCCAAACCTTGCGACGACTCGAGTTCCAGCCATTTGCACTGTCATTGGAGGAAGACTTCAAACGGCATGACTCGAACACGGTTCGTCGCTTCGATGAAGTGGACAATGATCTACAGCTCAACACAGTCTTCCAAGCGCTTCTGCTATTCAAAGGCCTTATGTGCCATGGGATGACGGTGAACGAACGTGCAAAGCTAGATTATCGCAGCAACCAATGGGTGTGTACGCTGTTTGCTCTGCGCACGATCACGACCCCAGAAATGCTGGGAGAGCCAGCCCTAGAAGGTGTACACACGGATGGAGTCGACCACACCATGACAACCTATCTGCGAAGCACAAACATGTCATCCAAGAGTGCAGTAACCTTCCTGCATGATAACGCTGAAAAAACCGGCATCCAGCTCAACGAGACCGCGCCGGAATTGATCCAAGCCCGAGCGCAGCATCGCAATTTCTTGGACACACTGTTAATTGTCGACAATGAGCGTAAACACAGCATCTCCCCGGTCTATGCCGTTGACGCCTCCAAGGAGGCTACTCGGGACATGCTAATTTTCTTCACGCGCAGGCCGGTGGTTGACGGCCATATTTCTTCAGATATCGACTCTCTTAATCCTCACATGGAGATGGAAATGGAGTTTCCTCTCATGAGCCTGAGAGATGGATATGGATTTGGAAAGAGCTGAATCAGAAGCATAACTTGCCCTGGCAGGGGCTATGTCTGAAATGTATAGAGCGCGTCCGATTTTTGGCCACTATGCATCCCGAAAATTGTTAGTTGGTAACAATTCACGAGCTTTCATGCTAGATAAATCACTTTGACCTATAAGATGACATGTAGAGAGTACCTCTTTCTTTTGTGCTTGCTTGGAAAGAAATTGCATGCTGGTTTAGATCAAAAATCCAGCATTCATTGGACTCTTCGTAAAAGAATGCAAAGATATGTATCTAAATGACAGCGGCACAACATTTCTGACACACATTGCTCTGCTCAAAACCCAATTATCAATGTCCAAGTCCCTTGAACAAGGCATTGGCCGATCTTTAAGACAACGAATCTGCTTGATTTTAGTTTTAGGGGTAACGACCTGTTCAGAGAAAAAAAACATCGTGACGTCTTCAAAAGACCCATTAAAAATCTATCTCTTCAAATTATTATCTGTACACTCTCCAGAACTACACAATTTCCCTTCCAGCATCTTAAAATCATGCCTCTCGATTAGGTCGACGCATTTGGTCGTCCTCTTCAAAAGAAAAGCGCCTAGAGACTCAGTGGCACAGGCATTCCAGGTCCAAATTGATCAGTCGGATCCCACTTCTGCTTCGCCGCCACCAGCCTGGGCAAGTTGTGCTCTCCGTACCACACTTTCGGACCTTCATCGCCGTATGCCTCATTGACATAGCTGTGGTGGTTTTCGAATCCCATCGCGCTCTGGATTTCTGCGCGAACCGGTTGCATAAAGTTGTTGAGCTTACCAGCATATTTCTGGTCGGTCATGTAGTTGACGAGGATCCTGAGGTTTACTACTGTTAGCTGGAACCCCCCTGTCTGGCTTCCTAGGTAACCATAGGGAGAAACACATACATCTGGATTTTGGTATCTCGCCATGGGAAGACGCCTTGCTCCTCCTTTGGAACCGACATGACCTTCTTTTCAGAGTGTCTTTCCATCATGATCAGCCCATTGTACCAGTCGTTCTCGGCAGAGAAGGTGCTCCAATCGTCGAAGAACGAAACCAACGTGTCCACGTCAGTTTTCTTTAAACCCATCTGGTACATGTTGGAATTCCAGCCTGTATTGCACATGATCTCTGTTGGTTCGCCAAAGGCGTTCCACGTGGTGTTCTCCCAGGAGGTGACTGTTGGGTTGAGGGCTTTTGCTTTGGCGAGATGAGGAGCAGCATCTTCGTCGCCACCTTGGACAATTAAACGGAGATGAATGTCAGCCTAATTTTGTTGTTAGTGTTCCTTTCTTGGATCGTTATCGATTTTTGGGAGAGGGGTTTATTCACATCCTTGGTCGTGTGGTTGAAACCGACAAGAATTCCCCAAAAGACGTTGGGCTCGAGGTTCTCATCCACTGACTTCAATATCTCAAACACCGAGGCATTCTGGGAGCTGGGGATCACAAAGTCACCAACTAGACTGTTGCCACCATTGGTCTGGTCGTAGATTTTGAACGTGGCCGAGGTGACGATGCCAAAGTTGTGACCGGCTCCGCGGATGGCCCAGAAGAGATCCGGATTTTCGGTCGATGAGGCGGTGACCAAGTCTCCTGCGGCAGTGACAACGTTGGCTGAGATCAGAGAGTCTGCCAAAAGACCACGAGCGCTGTAAAGAGTTCCCAAGCCACCTCCAATCATCGTGCCAATCGTGCTAATGCAGCGATCCGTGCTAAGAGCTAGTTTGGTTAGCCGGGCAATTTAGGATTCCTGATTTGGGGAAGAGGTTGGACCTACGGAGTTCCTTTTTCACATCATACACAACATCGTACACCTGGCTGTTCTTTACTCCCGGTCCAATAGTCACGGTGTTGGTGTCATAACCCAAAGCGATGTTTTTCAGTAGGCTGAGGTCGATATTCACAGCTCTTTTAACAGAAGCATAGCCTGGTTTGACACTGTGACCTGACCCGGTGGCGAGAAAGGAGATATTATGCTTCGTGGCCGCTGAAACCTAAGTGAAGCAAGAAACGAATCAGTACTGACACTGGAATGATGCCAGTAGGATGAGCAACTCACAATGTTTTTCACATCGAGCTCGGTTGCTGGTTGGATAGCAGCAACATACTGAGGGTCTTCAAGGTTGGACCATCTTTCATTGACCTTGAAGTATTCCGGGTCACCCGGGAGGTAGAGATGGGCACCAGAAGACAACACTGGACTGAAGATAGCCTTGAAATCAGGGACTTCGTCTCGGCTAGCAAGTGCCAATGTTGACCTCGCTAGAATCGGCAATCCCGCGAGGATTGATATTAAATACGATCGCATGATAATTGTCCAGGTTCGCTTGGCTTCTTTGCAGTTAACACTTTGGAGAGCTTGATCCTAAGGGAAATACCACCTACAAGTATATAAATATTCTTTAGTTGTCCACACCATACTCATTCAAGTTGATTGTACTCATTGGAACTGCTCTTTCGATGATTCCAGTTTTCTGATCCGATTTGGATCTTCAGCTGCAGAAGAATGTCCCCCTTGCTGGTTGCATGCATTTCATGATCTACCTACGCCGTATAAAGTCTTTTTTGTGCAGTGGACTCATAGTTTCTGTTTGATAACTCTTACATTAGAAAAAAAAATTCAGCCCTTTGTCTCGTAGGTCCTTGCCTTTTTCTAGCTAGGGCCCCCTTGCGCATAATATTGGAACCATCTTGCCAATAATTTACGCGAGACAGTTGCCTCGGAGACGCTGCATTTTTCTTGTAGAGAGGTCATCAGCCAGTTCGCCGTGGGTTTGGCAAATGCTACCCCAGGGTATTACTTTGTCTGCCATGCTCATATTTCTGAAAGCTAGAAGGTGATGACCAGATACACAGACTAGATACGTAAGGAAATGAACGTAGGACTAATGAACACTTTGAGAGGAAACAGGACAAAGTCTACGAAGAGTAATGTATGGATTATGGGAGAAAAAGAAGAACTTTACTTGAATGGGAGGCATCTTATACTACGTGCTGTCACATTGGCCTTGATAGTGCATGGGATGTTAACTCTGAACGAGCAACAAGTGAGGGAAAAGTCCGATTCACTCTCGCTTGTATGTATTTTCGACTCGATACACCCCATCAACAGGGATATTGGTAGGCACGTACTCCATCCCATCTCTAATCGCCTCTACTACAGACTCAAATTCTTGATAAGCATAGCTCTGGCAATCATGGCTAAATATCCAGTCCGGGTTGGGAAACCGGAACTCATCTCGCTTGCTCTCTTCCTTTCCCCAGTCCGACCGGAGTACAGTTGCCTGGAAAGTCGAACTGCCCAACTGGATGACCGAAGCTCGTGGGTATCGGATCTTTTCAACCACCTGCAGCGCAAGGGGGACGCGCTCTTTACCTGCTAGCGACAGCGCAATGGCGAGAACAGCGCCATCTTCGATCCCCTGGCTCCCCCCTTGGGCTACGACGGGGTAGTAGGGGTGAGCGGAATCACCAATGAGGATTGTTCGTCCGCCTTCGGAGATCCAGGTGCGGAGGGGCGGACGATAGATGAGGGCATGGTTCACCAACTTGTCAGGTTTGGTGTGCCGAATCACGGCTTCGATTCTGTGCCTACCAGGCCAGTGACTGATGGTCGCCAGTGCATCTTCGATCTTGGCCTGACCTCCGCCATTCCATGTCTCACGGGCTCCATAACAATCCTGATGACTGAAGTCAGTGGGGGCAAAATCGGGATTTCACGATAAAAGATCAAAATGCATACCTTGTGTGTCGTCATCCACACCACCTCTTTGCCCCTTTTCAAGGTCATCATAGCCACATTCAGTCCTTCCCCAAACCATGCATAGGTTCGGTCCTCTGTTTCAGTTCCGGCCAGAACCCACTTTGCCTCCTCGTCATTTGCAAATGCGTCAGTTTCAATGTGAGCCCGGAAAGTTGCCCAGCCAGTTTCCTGGGGAGCGAGCTCCTCCTTGGTGACGAACTTCCTGGACATCCCATGGACTCCATCAGCGCACACCACACAGTCTCCACTGATTCGCTCTCCATCGTCCACAGTCACACCAGCCTGTCCGTTCTCTTCCCAGTAATCGGTCACCCGAGAGCCCAGCCGAATATCAATCCCCAAGCGGTTCTTGGCGTGGGCATATAAGAGACACACTAGTTTACCACGATTGGTCACAATCCCTTCCCCCTTTCCGGGAAGTTCTTGCCGGGCAATGAGATTATCGTTGGGGTCCATCATATCTACATGCGTGGAGTCACAGCGATTCTGGACAATCTCTGCGAGCAGGTCATCGCCCCACTGGCGGATGACCCTGCTTGCGTTAGGGGCGATCATAATTCCATCGCCGGCTTTTCCGCGAAATCCATCAGCTCGGGAAGAATTCAAATCACGTCTCGGTGTCGAGAGGCACGAGGATTTCTAGTAACATACCATCATGTTTTAACACGGACACCTTTTCTAGGACAACCACAGAATGCCCCTTTCGATGGCATTCAATTGCCGCGGTAATGCCTGCAAGGCCAACTCCCACAATGACGACTTTGATCCCAGTTGAATTAGGGACAGCATCACTCTCGGGACGAGGGTCAACTGTCATCTTGGTCATGGATTTTCCTGTTTGAGAGGAGAGAGGTAGGGAGAAAGTTCAACGGAAAAAAAGGCCAGAGAATATGAACATGATAGATCGATCAAATCATAACTAGTGGACTCTAGTCCACTTTTTGTCATATGAAAATTCTCCATGATCAGACTTACTAGGGTAGTCAGACTGCATATGTACGTTGACGCACCTTCCTTGAATTGAATGGAGTTAGAGTCAGCCAGCCATTTACACTAAATCACCCACAGACTTTTAATCATAATGAATGTAATACCAATCCAGTCCTCGTGTGCAGATAAGAGCTACTTCTGAATTTGAGTTGTTGGATGCGTTTAAAGAAACGCTGCATTTTGGCATTTTGGCGTGCATGGTAGTTCTCTGCCGTGCTATCGCGGTAGGGTACCTGACCACCATGCCCTACGTCGAGCAAATGATTTTCCCTGGGTTTTTAGGTGCATCGTACGTATCATATGGAATTCATCGAAAAGGAAGCATTGCATAAGACCAAATTTCTAAAGTTCACCGCTGATAGGTTAGCCAGTCACAAGACCATCCATCGTGTGCAGATCCTTTTGGAAAATATAGTCTCTATGCGGCGTTTCGCTAGTTTGGCTGCAGATAATTTAACGTTAAGCCACTTGGAATTACCCGATGAAAAATTCTTAGCCTTCTTGAATATAACATACGTTTTATGGTGACATCTAAACTGCAAGGAGATGCTCAATGGACGCACGGTCAAGTCAAGAATGTAAACTAAGAGAAAGATCATGCGTGTGGAGCTGAGCTCCTCCTCAGCTGAACGTCAAGATCGAACAGAAGAAATTATACGTACTTCAATCGTGTAAATTAAAAGGTGACAGAATTTGCAGTCCTCGTTTTTCATTTTACCAAGGGCATTTTCGGACTTCAGTTGATTACATCAAGTGCGTATATCGAAATAGACAGAAGATGACCATCCAATCCATCGAGGGAGAAATCAATCTCCCAACTGAGAAGTGCATTTTCCCGATTCGGAACGATGGAAACCTCTCCGACGACGGACAAGCAATCTGGGGGCGGACCAAACTATCTACCTGTACCCTCGAGGAAGTTGGAATCCTCCCATCCTCACCCTGCAAGTCCTCCTGTCTGAACCAGGGCCAGGAGCCAGACCAGAACATCATAGCGAGGCAGAAAGACCCCCTATACTTTCTAGCTACCGTGTGGGCTCTGGTGTTGTGCGAATATGCCGAAGTCGACATTGTCCAAATTGGTGGGTACCAGGCCTGTGGCTCCTTCACAACTGAGGGTGCAGAGAAGCAAAATATGAAGCTTTTGGCATCTGCACCAAGGCGGACAGAGTCTGTCTCTGAATTGTTTTGCCTTGAAGGATGGTCGGTGTCAAATGTGAACCAAACCCATTTTCCATACTTCAATACCGGAGTTGCAATCTATCAAGGTCGAGATAGAGAGGCCGGAATTGATGCAGCTGAAAATCGGATTGCAGGGGAATCAGGAATAGCAGGAGAGGGCGAAGAGGAAAAGGTTTGTCTTAAGTTTCTTCTGAACACTTCTGCTACTTTAGGAAAAGGGAAACGTTAGCTGACTGGAAATCTCGCTTTAGCAATGTGACATAATGCTGGTCCTCGATTTAGATAATTCCGAATGGTCTCTCGAGTATAAATCTTCCATCTTGTCCAGCGGGCAGGCGGGCCATTTGGCATCTTTTCTGGCTGAAACGGTAATAACCGTGGCGACAAAGGCGACGACCAAGGGCACACTTTCTCAACTATCCATCAAGAGCTGCGCGCAGCAAAAGAAAGTCAAGGAATGGAATAGCCAGTTGTTGATCCAACCATCGGATCCCACCATCCACCAAATCATCCACAGTCTCTCCAAGACCCAGGGAGACCATATTGCTCTGTGGGCAGCAGATGGTCAACTTACATACGCCGAGCTGGATATCATTTCATCACGGTTGGCACGTCATCTTCAAACACTAGGCGTGGAGCCTGGGATGTTCATCCCGGTGTGTTTCAACAAAACATTATGGGCGGTAGTGACTATGCTCGCTATCAACAAAGCTGGTGCTGCATTTGTGACATTGGATGCATCACAACCGCTAAGTCGCTTGAAATTGATTGTGAAGCAACTCAATGGCCCACCCTTGGGACTCACGTCTCCCCAGAATCAAAATCTGATGGGTGAGGTGATCACACCAACATTAGCGGTGGATGCGCAAACCATGCTGAGACTGGGCAGGAAGAAGGCTGATGAGGTGGAAGACACAGACTACTGTGATTGGCCAATCGATCCAACAGCACCCTCATACTGCTTCTTTACATCGGGTAGTACGGGAGAACCCAAAGGATGTCTTGTAGATCACGCTGCGTTGGCAAGTCTGCAAACTCACTACAAAGCCCTGCACCTGAACTCTGCGAGCCGGGTGCTGCAGTTTGCGTCTTTCAGTTTTGGAGTTTCTTTAATCGAGATCTGGTGCACACTCGCTGCAGGCGGGACAGTATGTATGCCCTCTGATTCCGACCGAGTAAGTCGTCTAGCGGATGCCATTGAGAAAATGGCGATTAATTGGGCGTTTGTGACTCCCACTGTTCTGGGAACAATTGATCCCGATGCTGTTCCTGGCCTACGATGCATCATGGTTGCTGGCGAGCCATTGAAAAAGGCTCAAATCTCGTTATGGGCCAAACGCACCCGACTGTTTCAAGCTTATGGCTTTACTGAGTGGGCCGGGGTCTGCTGTGTGTCGCCGCAGATCAACTCCATAGCAGATATTGGGATTATTGGAAAACCGGCCAACGCCCGTTGCTGGTTGATTGAGCCTGGCAACCCACATAGAATTGCCCCAATTGGCGCGGTGGCGGAACTGTTCGTCGAAGGACCCAGTCTCGCCCAAGGGTACTTACACAATCCAGAGAAAACGGCGCTAGGTTTCCTGAAAGCACCTGTCTGGAGACAAAAGGAACTTCTAGTTGGAGCTGGAGAGTTGTCTTACGGAGGAGATGTCCGTTGCTACAAAACCGGAGACCTAGCCTACTATGACTCCAATGGTATGATCCGATATGTCAGTCGGCAGGATCGACAGGTGAAGGTTCGTGGGCAGCGGATCGACCTGGGAGAGCCCGAGTTCCACGTAGCGCAAGCATCACCTCTTTTCCGAAAGGTCGTCATCGATGCTATTGTGCCTGCCGATGGGAATGGAGTTGCCAGCCTCGTCGCTTTCGTTGAGGCACCCCCATCACCCCTACCTCTGAAAGCATTCTTTACCATGCCAAACAAGGAATTCGTAGTCACAGCCCAGCAGGTGATCGAGGCATTGAAGGAAAAGCTGCCCGATGTCATGATTCCGCGTCTATTTGTGCAGATCAAGTCAATGCCGCTGACTGTCACGGGCAAGATTGATCGACGACGACTCCGCAAAGAGGCAGAGCAACTCCGAAGTGAAGAGTTGCTCGCATGGACTGGCGTGGAGATTGATGCCTTGCAGCCACCGCAGACCGTTCATGAACTCCTCATCCACCACCTCATCGTCGAGGTCCTAAAAATCCCCCCTTCACAAGTCGGAATGGAGCACAATTTCTTTGCCCTGGGTGGAGACTCGGTAAAAGCGATGAAAATGGTATCTCGGGCGAGAGCAGCTGGCGTCGAGCTCATGGCAACACATATCTTTGCAGCGTCAAATCTCCGCGACTTGGCACTTGTAGCGGCTGAGCTAGGTCAAGCACCTTCCAGTGAAATAGACCCCAACGAGCCATTCTCTTTGCTTGATGCCCATACCAAGGCAGAGCTGATCTCGACTGCAGCCTCTGTGTGTGGAGTTGAAGAAGGTCAGATTGAGAATATCTATCCCTGCACGCCACTACAGGAAGGTATGGTGGCTTTGTCTGTGTCCAAGCCTGGGGCATATATTGCACGATTTATCCACAAGTTGCAGCCTCATGTCAACATTGCTTCCTTACGCCGTGCGTGGGAGTCGGTTGTCCAGGCCAGCTCAATCTTGCGAACAAGAATGGTGACCGAGGCGGATGGCAGCAGGATGTTTCAGGTTGTTCTGCGAGAGAGCTTCCAATGGGATGATGAAGACCCATATATGGAAATCAACTGGGACACGTACATGAAACCGCAACCAACTGACACCCTTTTGCTTGGGGCCCCTCTAGTACATGCTGGAATCCTAACTGGGTCGGATACGTCCTCGTTCGAGAGCGACCCGAGAGCGACATACTTTGTGATAATGATGCATCATTCCATTTGTGACCGTTGGGCCTCTGGCTTAATGATGGATCTGTTGGAGACAGCTTATGCTGGTGATTGTCTCGTCAAGAATTCCATGGCCCCGTTCATCCAATATCTCTCCAGCCAGCTTGTCAACCCAAAGAGCGAGGAGTACTGGAAATCGCAGTTCCAGGGTCTTGCTGCGGAGGTGTTCCCTGCACTCCCATCCCCCGGATACAATCCAGTCCCATCGGCAAGCATCCAACTCTCAGTTCCCTGCCTCCGCGATGCTCCGGGTGGATACACCATGTCAAATGTGATCCGCTTGGCATGGGCTGTGGTGATTAGCCAATATACCAGCTCACCTGATGTCGTCTATGGCGTGACTGTTTCCGGCCGAGCGGCTCCCGTAGCTAACATCGAGAAAATGGTGGCTCCTATTATTGCCACAGTGCCACTGCGCGTGCGGTTCAATCCCGAGGACACCATTTTAGCGGCACTGGAAGCCATTCAAAAGCAGTCAAATGAGATGGTTTCATTTGAGCAATTTGGTCTGCAACGGATTCGCAAAGTCAGCCGGGACGCGGGAGATGGGTGCGGCTTCCAAAGCCAGCTCATTGTCCAGCCGTCTTGGGCTGATGAAAGTCGTCCACTGCTAAACACCTTGGAAGCTGGGTCTTCGGTGGTTGGTGGATTTGCTAGCTGGGCACTGTCAGTCATATGTAGTCTTACTGAATCACGGCTGATTGATGTTACTATGGAATTCGATCCTAAGGTAATTTCGGTACTAGGGGTTGAGCGCATTTCCAGGCACTTTGAACAGACGTTGCAGTTCCTCCTCAAACAACCATTCCTTCCACTTGCGAAGGTACCATGTATCAGTTCAATGGACCTACAACAATTGCGCCAGTGGAGTGAGCCTCTATCCTCGACCCGAGGCAGCCACGAATGTGTACACACTATCATACAGCGACGCTGCGTTGAACAGCCCATGGCCAACGCGGTGTGGGCGTGGGATGGAAAACTCACATATGCAGAGCTAGATCTGCTTTCTACCCGACTAGGGTCACTCCTTATTGATACGTGCAAGGTTGAAGCCGAGGTGATTGTACCGATCTGTATGGAGAAGTCCCTTTGGACCACTGTGGCAATCATGGGTGTCATCAAGGCAGGCGGCGCTTTTGTGCTTCTCGATTCATCCCAGCCCCAGGAACGCCTGGAAGCCATCTGTCGTCGGGTCAAATCTCGTTGCATTCTGACATCTCCATCAAAACTTCAACTAGCTCTGACGTTGGAGCCTTTTGCTGTAGTTGTCGATCAAGGTTCGTCAGAGTCTTGGCCAGCTGCTGCTACAATCACACCAACTCTGGCCACCCTACCAACATCCACGATATATATTGCCTTTACCTCTGGCTCCACTGGTACTCCAAAGGGAGTCATAATTGATCACATGGCATTCTGCTCCAGTGCACTGGCTCTCAATACCGCTACGCAAGTCTCTCATCAATCCCGTTTGTTGCAATTCGCTGGTTATTCTTTCGATGGCAGCATTATGGAGACTTTGAGCATCTTAATGGCCGGTGGTTGCCTGTGTGTGCCCTCGAATTTTGAAGCCCGCAACGAGTTGGCGGTGGCGGCGCGTAAGTTCCGCTTGACCCATGCCCATCTCACCCCATCTCTGGCACGGCACATTTTGCGCAGCGATCCGGACTTTACAGAGATCCTTGTAAGTGTGGGCGAACCACTGACTCCTTCTGATGTGGCCGACTGGGCTGGCAACAACCCCAAGTGTCGAGTGATGAATGGTTATGGACCGGCCGAGTGTGCGGTGTCCACCACCATTCAGCCATGCATCAACACGGGTTCAAACGCTCAGAACATCGGATTTCCACTCGCTGGCGTCTGCTGCTTTGTGGTCCACCCTGAAAACCATGAAATTTTATTGCCCATTGGTGCAGTGGGAGAGTTACTTGTGGAAGGCCCCACTGTCGCCCGCGGATACCTGGACGATCCCGTACAAACAGAGGGGGCTTTTATCTCCTCCCCACCGTCATGGATGCGCAATTTACGTCCTGATGGACCGTATGGTCGATTATACAGAACAGGAGACCTCGTGTGTTATAACAGTGATGGGTCACTGCAGTACGCTGGCCGTCGGGACGCACAGGTGAAGTTGCGTGGGCAGCGCATCGAACTGGGGGAGGTGGAGAATCATGTCCGGCAGTCTTGGCTTGAGATTGACCAGGTCGCGGTGGAGATGGTCACCTTCAAAGTCACATCTTCTTCCGACACTCAAAGCCTTATTGCTTTTGTAGTGCCAGCTGACGTGGCTTCAGATTCTATGAACGGGACAAACGAATATGCTAGTATCCTTATCAATGCTCCTTCACCCTCATTTCTGGCGGAAGTGGCAGCCGCCCGTGTTAAATTGCAGAACAGGATGCCCCTGTACATGGTTCCCGAGATCTTCTTGCCTCTCCGCTATTTGCCCCAAAACATATCCGGCAAGCTGGATCGACGCCGACTCCGTGATCTTGCGGAGAGGTGCTCGCCAGAACAACTGGCGTTGTACCGCGCAGACTCAGTAAAAGGCTCCGCTAGATCCCCCTCCTCCGATTCAGAACGGACTTTACATGAAGTTTGGGCACATGTCTTGAACCGGCCTGCTGATGAGTTTGGAGTTGATGATAATTTCTATCACCTCGGGGGTGACTCCATCACTGCAATGCAGATCGTGGCCCAAGCACGCTTCAAGGGCCTTCGAGTATCCCTCGACGAAATCATGAGGCATAAGACCATATCCCAAATAACCCTTCATTCAGAGAAATGCACAGCCGGGTCGGCCGGCGCTTGTGGGGAGCAGCAGGATGAAAATGAGGAAATTGACACATGGTTCGATCTTTCTCCTATTCAGCAGATGTTCTTAGATCATCAGCCTGAGACAACCAGCGTCAACCGCTTCAACCAGACCTTTTTGCTCCGTCTCACTCAGCCAATTGCGCTAGACACGCTGCTTGACGCCTTCGATACTCTACAGTCGAGACATTCTATGCTGAGAGCCCAATTTGCGCGGCTACCCGATGATGGCCGGTGGATGCAAAAGATTCTGCCACATGGCCAAGGAGAGGACGGTAGACTGACACACTACCACTGCACTTCGCATAGACTGGAATCTAGATCAAATATCAGCGCAGTTACAGCGGCAAGCATGGAGTTTATCAACGTGGAAAAGGGACCCCTGACCGTTGTTAATCTGATTGACATTACGGAAGACAGCTCACAGCACATCTTCTTGGCTATTCACCATTTGGTGGTTGATCTTGTTTCTTGGCGCGTCATACTAGCCGATCTCACTGCGTTGCTCGCTGGGGAGACTCTTACAGATAAGACCGACTCCATCTCATTCCAGACATGGTGTCGCCGCCAGGCCCAGTATGCACAGCATTCGCTGTCCCCTCAGGCTGCCCTCCCCTTGGCACTTCCAAAGGGTTACCATGATGACAGCAGAAAGTTCTGGTTCAACACTCCAGACCAGTCTAATTGCATGAGAGATACACAGATACAAAGCTTCACTGTGGATCAGAAAATTACACACTTGTTGTTCAAAGGAGCCCAGGTCGCCTATGATTGTCAACCTGTAGAGATCCTCCACGCTGGCCTCCTATACTCTTTCCTCAAAGTATTCTCAACTCGTGATGCACCCACTATATTCAATGAAGGCCATGGCAGAGAGCCGTGGGAATCAACCATCAATCTTGCACAGACTGTCGGTTGGTTCACAACCGCTTGGCCAGTGGTGATGGAGACCAATCTCGAGCTCAATCGCCACAAATTCCACAGCATCTTGCGACTAGTCAAAGACGCACGACGAGCTGTGCCAACCAAGGGGTGGGCGTACTTTACGTCTCGCTACCTTAACCCGGACGGTCGGCGCGTTTTTAGACAGAGATACCCAATGGAGATTATTTTCAACTATGCTGGCGAGTTCCAACAATTGGAGCATACAAATGGGTTGTTCGCAACCGAGTCGCATGAAGCTCAGGGTGCTTTGGACGCGGATGGAGATATTCAACGGTTTGGCATCTTTGAAGTCAGCGCATCAGTGCAAAATGGTGGTTTGCGGGTTCAATTAGTTTACCCCCGCCAGATCCAACATGCAGATCTGATCATCGAGTGGGTGAAAACATATCAGGCAACGCTAGAAAATGCCGCGTCACAACTCCAGCTTGCAACCCAAAAGAAAAACCACACACGCTACACGCTGTCCGATTTCCCTTTGCTACCATCCTTAACGTACGTGCAGCTAGAGGAACTTGTGCTCACGACACTACCGGCTGCAGGGATTTCAATGGATAATGTGGAGGAAATTTATCCATGCTCTCCCAGTCAGCATGGAATGCTCATCGCCCAGGCCAAAGCCGCGAACAGCTACAATGCTAGTGTGACATGGAAGATCCAATGCTCCGTTGATGGGAAGCGCCGGGCTGCTGATCCACAGCGTCTGTATGCCGCTTGCTCCCAGGTCATCCGGCGACATGCTGCCCTACGCACGGTATTTGTCGACAGCCCACGAAGTGATTCGTACATGGAACAAGTCGTATTGCGGCATGTCCCAACTGAAGCGGTGGTTACCCACACAATGCTGTCGGGATCCAGTCCCCTGCTTCCACATGCCCTGACAGAGGGTTGGCCAAAAGGGCAGTTGATGCACCGAATGAACATGTGCCAGTGGAAGAATAACGGGGAGGAAGAAGTCATGATCCGCCTAGACATGAGCCATGCGATTATGGACCGAACAACGATGCAGATTATTGAGCGTGATCTATGTCTAGCATACGAGGGAAAGCTATTCCCGGGCAGAGGGCCGCTGTTCAGTGACTATGTAAGTTACATTGAACGACAAGATCAAGATGCCGACTCCTCCTACTGGCAAGAGTATCTTCAAGACGTTGAGCCTTGTCTGTTTCCGAGCATTGCTGGAGAGGACAATGCTACTGGAGAGGAGTGGGGTTACGCCTCTCGCACGTTGCATCACAGTACCCTGGGCAAAAACACCATCGACGCTTTTTGTCGTCGTCACAATGTTACAATGTGGAACCTGGCAGCACTTGCCTGGGCCCTGGTCCTTCGCAGCTTCACCAATTCCGATCACGTCTGCTTCGGCTATGTTAAGTCCGGCCGCGATCTTCCTATAGATGGCATTGAGGACGCAGTGGGTGCCATCTTAAATCCTCTCACCTGCCGAGTTCATTTCGCAGGAAATTTGACTGTACAGGATAGTATTTCCCAGCTGCAAAAGGAGTACTTGGACAGTCTTCGTCACCAGTGCTTCCCGCTCTCAAATGCACACAGACTTGCCGGTGTTGTGGATGGATCGCTTTTCAACACATCTGTTGGGGTGCAGAGTGGTCAAATCCTGCGGGAGGGGACTAGATCACTGGACTTTACTACGCTCGCCATGGAGGATGGAGCTGAAGATGATCTGATTATATCTTTGATTCCCGGCGACAACAACACCATTCTTGACCTTCGATTTAAATCATGCGTTCTTTCACAACAGCAGGCTTACAGTGTGGTTTCAACCTTTGAGAAGGCGATTCAGTCCATTCTTACAGCCCAGAATGATAGCCCAATCACAACCGTCAACATTCTTAGTGATCATGATCTTGACCAGATTTGGGCCAGAAACCAGAGTCTGCCCGCTCGTGTAGAGTCTTCCGTCCATCAGATCATTCGCGAGCGCTTCGTCGAGTACCCGAACAGCGAGGCTGTATGTGACACCGATGGATCGTTTACATACAGAGAGCTGGACGATATCTCGTCACGTCTCGCTCAACATCTAATCGTCAAGTGCGGTGGCGTCGCTCTGAACGAGGTTATTCCAATTTGCATGGAAAAGTCCCGTTGGACACCTGTGGCCATGTTGGGGGTTTTAAAAGCTGGTGGCACATTGCTACTGCTTGATACCTCGTATCCCCAACAGCGAAGAATGGAGATCTGCGCTGAGGTTCAGGCCCGTATTGTAGTCAGTTCCTCGACACATGCCTCCATCAGCAATGAGTTGGCATCAACTGTGGTGATTATGGGACCGGATCACTGTTCTTGGGACGGCGATATCCAGAGTGACGGCGACGCCAACAACGTCGTACTCCCCACCGTGCAACCCGAGCACTCCCTGTATGTGGTCTTCACTTCGGGCTCCACAGGCAAGCCCAAGGGTGTTGTCATCGATCATGGCTCGTACTGCACAGATGCTCGAGATCACATCTCCGCTGCTAAGCTCACCAGGCACTCTCGAGTGACGCAATTTTGCTCGTACGCATTCGATATGAGCATGGTTGAGCAACTGAGTGTTCTCATGGCGGGTGGCTGTATCTGCGTGATCTCCGACGAGCAGCGTAAAAACAACTTCAGCGAGGTCGCTTCCACTCTCAACGCCAACTTTGCAATTCTTGTGCCCTCGGTGGCCCGTCTGTTCCGTCCCGAGGAGTTGGCCACGATCAATAGCATCATGCTGGCAGGCGAGTGCATGACGCAGACAGATTTATCTTCTTGGGCGCCTCACGTACGACTAATCAATGGTTACGGTCCTGCAGAGTGCTCTGCTTTGTCTGTCGTTCAACCATCTATCTCTACCACGAGCGACCCGCGCAATATTGGATATCCCGTGGGATGCGTGCTCTGGGTAGTCGACAGGAACGACCACAACAAATTGGTTCCCCAAGGAGCAGTTGGTGAATTGTTGATTGAAGGCCCAATTGTCGGCCGTGGGTATATCAACCAGCCCGAGAGAACTGCAGAGGCATTTATCGAGCCCCCAGGCTGGCTGCAGGCTCTGCGACCACCTCAAACGAACTGTCCCCGTCTCTATAAGACCGGCGATTTAGTCCGTTTCACTTCCGATGGATCTCTCCTAGTCCTCGGTCGCAAAGATCGCCAAGTCAAAGTACGGGGACAACGGCTTGAGCTGGCTGAAGTAGAAGTTCACGTACATCGATCCTTCGACGGTGCTGCTCGTGATGTCGTGACTCAGATCATCGTGCCCGCCGGAAGCACCAAAGCTCAGCTCGTGGCTATGATCCTTTTGCAGGAACAGAATGGCCAAGGAGACAAACCAAAAGATCATGAGTCTCAGATCTTGGGAGCTCCCAGCGATACTTTCGCAGCGCAAATGGCCGCCGCGGAGATCCGACTACGCCAGCAAGTCCCTGATTTCATGGTGCCCGCCATCTTCCTCCCCGTGGTCGACATGCCTCGAACGCAATCAGGGAAAGTTGACCAAAATCGCCTGCGGAATCTCATCACATCCATGTCCTTAGAAATGTTACATGCTTATCGGGCTTCTTCCTCGTTGCCATCGTCCTTAGGTGGGAACCTGCTCTCCACCGACGCAGAACGTGAGCTGGCAAGCATCTGGTCAACGGTTCTGGATATTCCCATTGGAACAATCAACGCAAGTGATAACTTTTTCTTCCGTGGAGGCCACTCCATTGATGCGATGAAGGCCTCTGCACTGGGTCGGGCTGCAGGCATGAGTTTTGGCGTTGCTGACATCTTTGACCATCCTGTCCTGTCAGAGCTTGCCAGGGTGGCAGTCCCCAAAGACACCACCGAGAGAAAGTTGTGGGAACCATTCTCTCTCAGCCCAATCGCAGATCCTCAGGCGCTGCACAAGGAGCTATGTGCAACGAAAAGCATTCCTGTCTCGAGCACTTTACAAGACTTGCTCCCTGTTACACAGGCTCAACACATGTTCATCAAGAGAGGAACTTTCCATTCGTATAACTGGACAATCAAAGGTCGCTCGCTCAACATGGATCGTCTTCGGGCTACATGTCAAACCCTGGTGGAACGACACAGCATTCTCCGGACCAGCTTTGTTGAACGTGACGGATATCCAGTTCAACTTGTACTGGCAGACATTGATGTCAAAGTGCGCGAAATCCGATGTTGGCCAGAGGAAGATCCAATGGAAGTTTGCAAATCGCTGTGGGATGGCAAGGACTGGCCCACTCTGAATGTGATGGGGGGCTCCATGCCTGTGAGATTTACACTTGTCTCTCGTCCAGGGGACGAACATGTCGTCCTCACGATTCAGATCTCACACTCCCAGTGGGATGGAGTCTCCGTTCCAAGGCTATTCAGCGATTTCGCCGCCATCTATAACCAAACCCCGCTACCGCCGACCTCCGACTTTGCTCATTACCTATACCATCGGGTTTTTTCTGCAGCAGATAATGTTAACCTGGATCCCACATTCAGATTCTGGCGAGATTATCTCGACGGCGCTAAGATGACCGTTCCCTTTGCACCCCGCCCGCGCACTCTCTGTTTGGACCATGCCGGCGCAGTACAGTCTTATCAGACGCTCTGGACTTTCAAGGAAATCCCCCCTCCGACCTTGCCTTCGGGTGTTACTATGGCTACTTTAGTCAAAGCAGCAACAGCGTTCTTCCTTTCCGATCATCTGGGTGAAAATGACATCGTCTTTGGGCACACTGTCAACGGCCGAAATCTGCCTATGGACAACATTGAATCTCTCCTGGGGTGCACCCTCAACTTCGTCCCTCTACGGGTCACCTTCCCTGCAGACCCGGCCGAGTGGACTGTCATGGATCTTCTGAATCATGCACAAACCCAATACACTCGGGCTCTCTCCCATGAACATGTCGAGCTACGCGACATTTTCCGGCACAGTACCAACTGGCCCGCAGAGACTCCGCTGAGCCTTATTGTGCAGCATCAGAATATTGATCTGAGTTTCAGCCTTCCTTTACAGGGATCCGTCGTTGACTGTGAGGGAGAAGATGGCGGTTCTCTTGATGTGCAATATTCCAAGTTCGCTCGCTTCGATCCGTTGGACGAAGTTTGGATCTTCACCGAGCCACATGAGGATCGATTGGAAGTTCAGGTGTGTGCCAACAGTCGTGTACTACGCCAGGAACAGGCTACAGAGTTGGCCAACCACATCTCTACCCTTATTGAGAAGTTTTCAGCCGACCCAACGGCTAGATTACTTGATTTGACATTTTAGGGTTTCCTGTGGATGAGCTAGGATATCCTTCTAGGTACTGATGATTTTTGTCTTCATTCATCTTCAACTCTACTGTTGTTTTTTTTGTCACATCTCACGTCTTGTATACAATTGAACTTACAACGCTGCCAATCCCTATGAATTTTTAGGCTCTGCCTACGCTTGTAAAACTGCTTAGAATCCAAGGATCGACTAAATTTTCAAAACTGTGGCTTTGTCAATCGTGCTGGCTGAAATTGACGCAACGCTGTTCAACATTCTTTGAGACGCCCTGACCAGGGAATAAACATCGCAGTGTACGGAGTATGGAGAACGCAGTGAACTTTTCAAACGTCACGATTCTTATCAAAGTAATCATCCCCTCGTGTATTGAGTACTGGGTAGGCTTCAGAATTGAGGTCCCCAGACTAAACTTCATAATTGGAGTAGACTAGCCGAAACATCAAAGTATGCAGCATGCTGTGCTGGGTCAGCCCTTTCATGATGCCTCATTTATTGCCACTTTGCCTGAAATATTGCATAACCTATGCATGTCTAGTAGATGCCTGCATATTAAGAAGGGAGCATTTCCCCTGCATACAGTTTCGGTCAGGGGGCAGTGAGAAAAGAAGGTCCCTACGGGGTAGTTGAGCAGCAGAACCAACATCCACCACAATGATTGGAAGAATGTGCAGCTGAAAATGAAGAATGCACTGCAATCCATTTGTTTTGACGCCAAAACACGATGCAGCTTTCAATAAATGCGTGAGGTTCCTTGCTTGTTTGGAGATTAGTGAACATTCTACAGATCTGGATCTGACAGGGCATCGGACAAGAGCTTCCCTGCGAAATGCCTGAAATCACCAACCATAGACGTATATAAGATTCCTAAAAGCCAGTTGAGGACCCCTATCATCACCAAACATTACCCAGTGACTCTCTTTTCATCATGTTGAACTCTATCACCTACGGTTCTTCCCTTCTCTGCCTCTTGCTATCTATTCCACAGCCCACTCATGCTTTGGATGGAGGTAGCGAGGCACCTACCACTGCCGTACCCTATACCGCCGCTCTTTTGTCGTCTGACGAAGTTTTCAACAAATGTGCTGGTGTTCTTATCACCCCGAAAACTATTTTGACGACCGCTTCTTGCGTTCAGAACCAGACAACTAGCTCTTTGAAGGCTCGGGTCGGTAGCAGCGACCGCACCACCGGCGGAACTGTAGTGAGCTTCAATAAGATCCTTCAGCATCCAAAATACAGCACCAAGACTTGGGACTACGACATAGCGCTTTTGAGCTTGAGCGAGGCCGCACCCGACAGCGTCCCACTCGCAGACCTCGGAAATTTCTCTGACGTTGTTGGCTCCGGCACAACTATGTACGGCTGGGGATTGACCAACTACAGTAACACGGAGTTCCCTAAGAAATTGCAGAAGCTGGACGCTGTCGGAATCACCAATGCTTGGTGCGCTGAGGAGTGGACAGGTCTTCACTCAATCTCCAATCGCATGGTTTGTGATTGGCCGCCTGTAGAGAAGGCTACGTGGGAAGGTGACAAGGGGGGTCCAGTTGTCAACACTGTCGATGGAAGCGTTGTGGGGCTCATCAGCTTCAGTATCTATGAGACTGAGAGGAAGAAGGCACTTCCGGACGTGCACACCAACCTTGAGTACTTCAACAGCTGGATCATGGATCATGTTGTCTAAGTCTTTCTTCTAGAAAGTTTTGGAATGTCCCTAGGGTACGTATTCATACGGCTCTGAAAGATGCTTGCAAATCTTTATTCATCTTTTATGCGAGACATGGTAGTCTGAAAAATTCCCAAACTCAGGTGCATGCTTACGAGTTCTCTAAATCCCAGCTGTTGTATATTTCTCTTCAATCATTCGTAGATGTTTGAACAAAGCTCGTAGTGCCAAAGAAGATCTATTCTCAAGACAGTTGTTGCCTTTCTATTATGAACGGACTTTTGGAGAACAGGACCCAAAAAAAATTGCAGACGACGATCCCATCGTTTAAGCCATTGATTACCTCTTTGATCAGAACTCGGACTACTGAACTTGCGCTGGTTTACAGAGGAGCTCTGATGATAGCGTATACTTGGCATATCCTGCCCCGTACCTCCTCATATACATATATGGACCGAAACTATCCTGCACCAAGGTCCTATCTTCCATGACGAATCGCTTCCTCCCCTTTCTCTGTCCGTTAATGCGCCGGCGTCATCTGCTTCTTTTTAACCGAAATCCATTGGAGACATAAAGCCCCGAAGATTGAAAGCGCACTCATTGCCACTGCAATGTAGAAAGACTGCGTCACCGCATTGTTATACGCTTGTAGGACCATATGGAGGTTATCGGGAAATGTTTCCCGTAGCTTTGTTGCTCCAACTCGAACAATGACAGCTGGGTCAATATTTGGAACCAATTTCCGAACGTTTGCAACCAGACGATTCTGGAAGACATTTTGGGCAATGGAAATGAAGATCGCACCCGAGAGTGATTGACTGAACACGACCAACGTGGTCGCGACAGGAATATCGGCCTCTTGAACTGCTGCTTGCACAACGATAGTTGGCAGCTGCATACCCATGCCCGCTCCAATCCCAGTCATAGCTTGGTAGCCGATCCATTTCGCAGAACCAGAATTCGGTTCCAGTGTTGTCAAGAGGCCATTTCCGATGCTGAAAATCACAGATGCCGCCAGCATAAAAGGATTGTAGTATCCTGAAACTGTCACAAGTATTGCTGAAACCATTGCGAAGATAGTGACTCCTAAGATCAATGGGAGGTTCATAACGCCAGACCGGGTAGCATCGGCGCCTTTGATTGCCTGAAACCAGAGGGGAAGCTGGTACAGAATCGAGTTAGCAGTTGTCGATGGCTCGCAGAGGAGAAACATACGTAATAGACCGAGACAAAGAATGCGCCACCTAGACAGGTATTATAGGCCAGTGCACCCCACACATTGCGATTCTTGATGATTCGAGGTGGTACTGTCGCTAGTTCCTGCCTTGCATGCTGAACGTACAGCCAGATGCAAAGGCCCACACCAAATAACACAAATAGCACGATGATCCGCGCATTTGACCAGGGGTATTTCTGACCTCCCCACTGCAGGGCAAGCAGGAGACAAACGACAGTAGGTAAGAAAATGGCTGTGCCAATTAAATCCAAGCTCTGAAGTTTCTCACGGCTGGTGATGTGCTTCTGAGGTGGTTTGTCCTGGAAGAAAAATGCAATCATAATGGCTGTGACGGCTCCAAATGGGAGGTTGATATAGAAACACCACCGCCAGGTTGCATGATCCGTGAGAGCGCCTCCTAACCTGATGTGATATGAGATGTCATTAGTGGGAGAACACAGAAATCGCCGCTTGCAACATGGGAAAAAATTGACCTACAACGGCCCGGCGACACTAGAAATTCCAAAGATGCCGCCAATAATTCCAGTGTAGATCGGGCGCTTTCTCAAAGGCACAAGTGTCGAAATGACAAGCATCGAGCCCGAAAAAAGACCTCCAGCTCCTACACCGGCTAGAGCTCGCCCAATGATCAACCCCGTTGAGGTTGGCGTAACGCCGCAGACGAGAGACCCAAGTTCGAACAACGTCAATGCCGTCATGAATGTCCATTTCAACGAGTAGTAGGTGTAAAGCTTGCCGAAAATGAGGGTCACCGCACATGTAGTCAACATGTAGGCGCTGCCATACCAGCCCATGTCAGGAAGCGAATCGAATTCCGCGGTGATTTTTGGAATCGCTGTGGCGACGATTGTGTTGTCCTTGGTAAGGCGAGTGTTAACAAGGCGTGCGTAGCTGTGTGGAAGATATAGAACTATACCAGAGCCATACAGAAAACAGAACAACAAAGTCCCACCAAGATGGGAATGAGCTTCCACATCGATGGATACCCTGATTCATCTGCTGAGCCATCGGGTACTGCCGCTTCTTCTTCTTCTCCTTCTCCTTCTCTTCTCTCTTTATGAATCAACTCTTTCGTCGATGGCTGTGGTGAATTTGCCGAGCCATAATGGTCAAGCTCGACATAGGCTGACTTGTTCTCGCTCGCCATGGTTATCGTGAAAAAGTGTCGGCAATCGTTTTCAGTCTCGAAATCGTTGAATGTGCGTAACAGTCGTCCTTTTTATCAGTCCCCACTCGGCCAACAACTGCAATGTTAGGCAAGGGGCAGTTGGATAAACAAACTTGCGTCAAAGTGGGTTTACGCCAGCTTAGATGAGAGCTGATGCCAAAGAATGCGGGCTGGGTGTTTATGCATCATTCTGCATACCCCCAATCCAGAGTGATCTTCATTTTTGTATTGCTAAGACATCAATTTTCAGTACCGTTTCTCCATTCCATAGTGGTCCTGGTTATAACGAATCAAGACATGGTTCAACATTCGTTATTTCTTGGTCTTTGTCAAGTCTACATCACCACATATGAAGACATCTTGTTCAAAACCAAGTCGCAGTGCTGGACACTAACGGTTGCCCTACAGATACACCCCAGTCAAAACATTCTACTTTTCGTATCTGGTCGTGGATAGTTGCCCAATGCCATTCCTCAGTCAAGGAGCTTCATTCTCGATTACCAGTTGGGCTATAGCCTTCTCAGCCACCCTTGCATCTTCTCAGTTATCTCTTTTCCATTCCCTTGCCATGGTCGAAAAACCACCTAAAAGTTGGGTGGCATACTTTGATCTAGTGATGTTGATTTCGGATCTACCGTCATTCTGTAGGCAAATTGTTGTCTTGGGAAAATGCATGAAAAATACAACAAACTACTAGAAAATTAAGGGCCTGTTCTAAGTCTTCTGTTCGGAGACACTTCTGACACATGATTAAATTCAAATGGGTTTGTTCGGTCTATTTCACTCTATAGCAAGGAACGTTGGCAAATTCCGCTGTGATCTTCATCTCGAAGTTGATTCACTAAGGAGCAAACACAGGTTGACGCATATTCAAACATCCTCGATATCAAAACGAATATGCAATTTGTGAAGGTCAAGACCATCCTGGAAAGTCACAATTCGTGCAACTCGCTTGACACCCTGGCCAAACGCACAAAGAAGGAAGGTTCCGACAACCTTACCGACAGGCGTGCCCATGATAGCGCTAAACTCCGGTGACGGACAACCCCAGGTTTGATGCTCTGCAGATGGATAACTAAGTCCCTTACGGGAAGGGTAGATCTGTTCGTGGATAAATGGTTCAGTGTGCTCCTCTTGTACCTCGTTAACAATGACGTACTTTAGACCATCCAATGGAAAGTGCGTCTCATAGGCCATCTTGGCAAGCTGTGACACATACGGATCGTTTGAAGGAAGGCGTGTTCGTCTAATAGAATAGAGAAAAAGAACGCCTGGTGCAATCGTCCCCACCAACGCTGTGACTCCACCAATGGTCTTGATGACTGAGTGCCGTAGACACGGAGACTCCGTGGGATAAAGATCATTGGGAACAAGCTCTCCGAGTGGAAGACCAAGACCAACAATAGATGCAATCCGCTCTGGTGATAGCCATTCTCTGTCATGCTCGATATGCCAATCCATAGGCTGGGGCAGAGTCAAGGCACTAAGATTGGACATTTGAACTGGGCATCCACGTTCACTGGCACTTTCCATCCATAGGATTAGCAAGTTCCCCGACTGCTCAAACTGGGGATACTTTAAAGCCATCGTAGCATGAAGTTGACGTGCGGATCTGAATATACAACCGGGTGCCTCCGGCAGAGTTATGTACTCCGGGCGGGCACATGTCACAACGACAAGCCACCAAGAAAACTTGACAACAGCATTGTGCGGCACACCGGACTCCAAAAATTGTGAACGAGTCAAAGACTCAAAGAGTCAAAGAGTTCAAGAGCATTAAATGTGGGATTCCTAGGCTTTGTCGTAAATAAAGCAGACATTCCTCTAGCCGTGACGTCTGTTTCCTCTCCTTTTGGCTTTGTTGGATGCCTCGGCTTTGTTCGAGAAAAAGCTCCCTTCAGGTATCCAGAAAAGGATTCGGCAACCACCTAAGATTTTTAAGAGCTCCTTTTCAAAGCTGCAGCCATGCGAAATTGTGGATGACGGGGTTGCGATAATTTTGTAAGAAGAGCCGCAACATGCAGAAACGATCTGGAGACTAAACCCTCGATATCTTGAAGGATGTTTCGTACATCTGTAGGCTCTGGACTAAGAGCTGGAGGCAATTGTGGAAGCTGTGAAGACTGGATAAGCTACAATAGCAGGCCCTGGCTTTAAACTTGAGTGGTAGTGCAGGCCGTTGCTGGGTTTTTTCCATCAAGGCCGCGGTCCGACAATTCCAGGTGTAAGTTGTATCGTTAAGAGATTAACAACATCGACCAGAGAGCACTTGGTAACAAAAGCCGAACATCCCTAGAACTGTAAATCCGACAGGCGTCGCACCAAGACCGGTTCGATCTAGTGAATGTCATCGGGGCCCACAGTCACATCGCCACTAGGCCCTAGCAATTACCTATTCGGGAAGTGTGAATCACCTCAGCTTCAAACTTGTACCTAACTACTATCATATCACTAGTGTCTATTGGATTACCTTCCTACCCCACTATTAGTGGTTTCTTCCCACAACGATTTTCTTCCTACGGATCTTACAAGACCTAGAAAATACCTTCACGTTAATTGAAATTAGTCATTTCCAGGAGATCTTCATTTCAGCGAGATCTTTATGTCAACCCAGTTTTTCCAACCCACAGGATCTTCATCCTACTTTCCGGCCTTCCATTCCAGCCAAGGCTCGTCAACATATCGGCATCCTATCTCGGAGGGCCCTACAGTCCCAACAAGCGATCCAGCATCACTTCCACATCCCTTACAATTCGGTTTATTAAATGACCATAGCTAAAGCCCACAGTATCTCGACTACCAGGAACTACTCCATTCTTCGACGCTATCCAAATTCTACAACTATTTTATCTCAATTATCATCATATCCATGCGTTTTCTCGGGGACCCACAGTCCTGACAGTGATCTAGAGCTTCGCTTTCTCAAATGAATATAGGACTAGATAACCGGAAGTGGAGAGAACACAACACTCTGCTGGATGGCTCTTTTTTTTCATGACCGCAGGAAGAAGGGACTTGGGGGGATGCACAATGTTGATCTGGTGTTTGAGCCTTATTTGGGTAGCATTTGAAAAACTGAACGTATTGATGACCATTCCCCTCTAGAATATCCATAGATGACTGCGTGAAAATATCATTAATTTCTGATCTTTTTGAAGACCTTTGCGCACTCTGAAATCTTATCCAGTGTACCACGTTAGGCATTGTTATCCATGTAGGCATCAGATCTTTCTCGGATGTTGATCCTGCTTGACCTGTTGCTATAGGCCTCTCAGAAGTGTACCAGGGTCGTAGAGTACGATTTCGAATTTGATTCAAAAGTTGAGAGCAAACATCGTTCTCATCAGATTGACCTTATCGGAAAGAATTAATGCTCCAACGCGCGTAACCTCTCTCTCTCTCTCTTCTTGTTTCTCTCCATCCCAGACATGGAGACCCTTTCTATTCTATCGCAGCTCAACACCTCGGCACGCGCGACCAGCTACCTAAAAGTCCCATCCAATGAGACTATCCGGCTTCAGAACTTTATTGAAAACGAGTTCCTTGCTTCTGAGCACATAACGGAATGGATCAATTCACGTTCCCCTCACTCAGGTGAGCTTCTGTTGGATGTGCCTTGCAGTCCCCCAAGTGTCGTTGACTACGCTGTCAATGTCGCATATCGGGCATTTCCAGCATGGTCACGTACCACGCCACACGAGAGGTCCGAAATACTACTCCGGATTGCGTCAATTCTGGAAGAATGGAAAGAGTTGTTTGCAGTCTGGGAAAACATGGATCAAGGTAAACCTATGCTGCGCGCGCGGGCTGAAGTTGACCACTCTATTCAACACTTCCGGTTTGTCTACCCCGTCTTTGGCATTTGAATTGATCTGAGAATGTTTCTCATCAGGTACTTTGCAAGATACATTCTTCACGACGAGAGTGCAGTGCGTCTCAACAAAGGCCTAGAAGAATCGACTCTGACGTACGAATACCGCGTTCCAGTAGGAGTTTGTGCCATTATCACTTCGTCGAACATGCCGCTCTACCTTTTGACTGCCAAGATTGCCGCGTGTCTCGCATTTGGGTGTACCGGTGTGGCCAAGCCGAGCGAGTTGACCAGCATGACAGCCTTTCGTAAGTTCTGATCTCATCTGATAGAATTGCATACGGAGATGCACTAACTGAAAAAAAAAACAGTGTTCGGTGGAGTACTCCGACAGGC